CAATATGAGATATCTTGGGAAAATGCAGAGTGGTGAGTGACATTCGAGGTTGTGTATGCAATATTGTGTACGAATATACCACATGGCCGCACACTCATTTTCCAACTTGACTTATGACCATTACCTTTGCTAAGGGGCTGTCTATTGCATGCGTTGTATCCATATTGCATTGGGTCATCCAATAACTATTTACATAGAAATGTAAGACTTCAGGATAGAGATATCAGATAACTGTGGCCATAGGGTAGGGTGAGCGCAGATAATGAAAAGAAATTGTGAATCTATGAAATGTAATATATGTTTATGTATTGAGATGAAAACTTACTTTATGTGATACTGTGATATGCAATACCATGATATTTTCTTTAACTGTAATAAGATATATGTTATGCTGAATATGTGTCATGTATGAGTGGTAGGGTAGAGACTCATCCTTACACAACATTTTTAGGAAATCAGGACGAGTAGTACCAAGCTCAGTGCATGGATGACTGAGAACTACTATAGGACTTATTTATTTTTAGTTATGTAATGGATATTTTCAGTTCTATAGCATTCTTTTGAAATAGTTGTAAAACTACTGTTTTCTTTGTTGCAGATAAAATTTTAGAATCTTTATTTTCTACAGTACTTATGAATCAATGAAATTTTTACACTATGATTTATATTATTTTCATACTTCTTTCTCACTTACAAGAATGTTCAAAGAAATTCATTTTATTTTCTGGATTCTTTTATGAAAATATCATGTATTTGAGAAAAGAAATATAAGACATTACATTTTTAGTCACGTGTGAACTTATATGGCTAAAACAACTACTAAAAAATTGAGATTTGGGGAAGATACATAAATGACACTCATTTGTGATAACTAGACAGCCTTACACATAGCCTTGAATATAGTCTTTCACAAACGAATGAAGCATATGGAGATTAATTGTCACTTCCTTCATGAAAAGATTTTATTTGGAGTTAACACTACAAGTTTTGTCAATTCAAATGATCAACTGCTAGATATATTTACAAAGTCTTTAAGGGGCCCTCGTATTCAGTACTCACGTGACAAGCTCGGTACATGTGATCTATATGCTTTAGCTTGAGGGGGGAGTATTAAATATATGTAAATATATTATTTAAGAAAATAGTATCTATATAATTATAATAATTAGGTAACTGTATATTTGTCCTTAATTGTGTACTTATAATTACAATTCTCGTTATTAATATAAATATACATCCCGTGGTGTAGTTAAGACACACAAAATTCCTCTTATGCCTTCTTGTTTTCTTTCATCTTAATAAGTTTAAGCGAATTTTGTAGATTTGTTTAAGCAAATTTTGTGCATTTGAGGAAATAGAAGCTAGGTGTGAGGGAAGAGAGGACTGAGGATATATGGGGACAAGGAGAGTGGTGCTATAGGGGTGGTGGTAAAGGGAGAGAAGGGTGGAGAGTTGGATATAGAGTGAAGAAGGAGATATAGGTATAAGGTGGGATGAAAGTGAGAAAAAGAAGAAAGTAGTTGAGTATAAGATGGAGGAAAGAGGGAGCTGGGAGAAGAAAAGAGAAGTTGAGTATGAGAGAAGGAAGAAAGTTGAATATGAAAGTTAAAGAATGTTGTATATGAAGGTTGATGAGAGAATATTAGGCATAGGGAGAAGAAAAAATAAGATTGAGAGAAAAGATGCAATATTTGCTTAAATCAAAATAATTTGCTTAAGCCAATCTAAAATTTTTTTAAAGCTAATTTTGTATAAAGTTTTTTTGTCATTTTCTACATTTTTTCTTAAGCAAGTCTATTTTTCTTTAAACAAAAATGAAATTGGATGTCTAGTTTACATGTTTATTGGACTGGATCCAAATTCGTATACAAAATGACAGTAATAAGTAATTAATGCAATGGAGGATTGTGCCTTGGACAAAAAATAAATGTAATTTGAATATTTATATGAATGTAAAATTTCTAATCTAACTATTAAAATAATTTATATTATTTTTAAGATTATATATATATAATTTAAATATTTATAAATATGTTATTCAAAATTTTATATTTTTAAAGTAATACAATGAAATATTTTAGATTTTAGTTGGGTGAAATTGTGAATAATTTTTGTAAAAAAATAATATAAAAATAAATAATTTTTTATATAATTTAAAAATAATTCATATTTTTAAACGTTAGAAAAAGTTAAATAAGAGTAACTTTCAAAAAATAAAAATAAAAATTAATTTTAATTTATGAAAATAATTTTAATATTTTTGTATTATTTTTTTTCTTACATATATTTGTCTACAAGCTCACCCAAATATAATTTTAATCTATTTAATAAAATTTTTTAAATCAATATTTAAATAGATTAGTTTCATATTTTATAGAAATTAATTAAGTAATATAAATGATCAAATTTAACTTTTGGTGTCGATAAATTCTAATTTTACATGTGTAAAAATACTAAATTGATTAGATTTTAAGTAATATTATATTAAAAAAAGTGAAGCAGCTAAAAAAACATTTTAAAAAAATTATATCATTATTGTTGCTTTATAAATTTAAAATTGACATTTCTTTTCAACTAATTTTATAAATACATATGTATGGTTGTATAAGAAAATTACTTTCTTTTATTATTATTATTATTATTTTAAATTTAATTTGATATATTGTTGCACAAAATTTTTGATATTATTGATTAATTATAATATATAATATATAATATATATAAATTTTAAAATTAATTATTAAAATTTTAAGTAATAAATATGAATTAGTTTGACAATGTGATAGTATAATATATTTTAATTAAATTCTCTTTTTTATATAGTTTTTTACTTTGTTTATTTTGTAGTAAAGGACTTAAGTTGAATATTTAAAATTCAAATTTGATTTGCAAAAAAGAAAATAAAATTAAGCTTGACTTATTTATTTAAACGAATCAAATTTATAACTTGATATTGACTTAATTGAAATTTTCAAAACTTAGGTTTGACGGATTAGTTTATTTATACTTTATTTATTATTTTTTACAAATTTTGATGAACTTTTTTATTAATGCTATATATAATTAATATTTTTAAATAGAAAATAAAGTAAAATAATAATAAAATATAAATTTATTAAGATTAATTGTTTTTTTAATAAAAATAGTATATTATAAAAAAATATGATTATTTATTAAAAATATAACTCTTAAGATTTGAAGGTAGATAAATAACACATGGCAATAATAATAATAATAATAATAATAAATTTTAAATTATATATATATATATATATATATATTCATGATATAATATAATTTATTAATATCTAATTTCAACTACAATTCCTGAACCTTAAATAAATAAGGTTTTTTCTTTTCTTCTGCTAAGAGGACATTTAGTATCTTTTGTATTTCGTTTGGAATTATGCAAATTTTCCATAAGATTTTTTGAAGTCTAAGTTATTATTTTAGGTTGTTTCATTTATTTATTTATTTCAAAATTTAACCTATTTAAACTTACAATTTACCCATTTGTAAATTTTTATTATGATTAAATTTATTGAAATTTCTGTTCAAAAATTGAGTCCTAGTGGAGAATGTTGTAATATTAGATTTCATCTTCTCTTAAATAACAATTTATCTCCTGTTTCTAGCAGTACGTTCAATTTGAGTTAGACAAAGAATTTTGCACAAGAACCAATGTCAAAAGTTTGGAACTTAAACTATATTTATATTTTTCGTCGGGGGCGTTGCATATAGAATTGAAGGGAAAAGTTGAACGTTGCAATACTATCTCTGAGTATTGGGTAGCAATGACTTAAAGCACACATTAATTAACACAATATACTTAAAAACAACTATTTTTAAGATTGCATTCAAATATCAATGTTGAAAGCTTTTAGAATAAAAATTTATTCACAATGGGAAGATGGAACAAGATGTAGACCAATTTAAAATTTGGAGCCTTGTTTCTAACATTTGAGTTGCTTAAACAAACAACTTTACCATTTTATTTTTGTTATGAAAGATTAAACACAAAATTTTACAAAATATACTACTTTTATGGCAAATAACTGTATTTTATATGGAAAGTGTAAATAAGAGTTTTTTTTTTCTGAGTATTTAAAATAATAATCCAAATGTTGAGAATTTTTTATAAATTTATTTTAATTTTGAATTAGAAAACATGTATTAATCAGCAATAAATAAACTTAACTAAAGATTTAAGGAATGGGTTCACGAGTAACTCATTTACACCCGTAATTCTACCGTCAACAAAATTTCCAGTCCAGTAGAACAGGCAAGTCACGACCTTTTCCAACGTCTGCATTATTAGTAAATTACGTGTTGAGTTCTTATTGGCCCAATCCTCATCCCAGTTTATGCCGTTTCGCACCATATCACACAGTCACTGCTCGTCCAACCTTTCATTCCCCCCCCCCCCCCCCCCTCTCTCTCTCTCTCTCTTACAGTCAGTCATTCAGACACACACTCGTTCCCTTAAAACTCCGCGTCTCTTGCTCACCCTAAGTTTACTCCCTTTTTCATTGAAACCCTAAAACCCTGCATTTCCTTGCAGAGCCCCTGAGCTTCTGCAGAACCAGTGTGTCCCAGGCTGCAATCACTATAACGGCATTAGGTGCTTATTCGATGAAAACATAACTGCTTCTCACACATGACATAGCTGTGTGCGTCTATAAACATGCACATGCCTTGCGTGTTTCTCACGGAACAAAATTTGTACTTCATATAATGCACATTTTTGTATCCGTATCAGTTCATTAGTCCCTCGGAGCTTTTTTTTTTTTTTGTAAAATACAAACTTCTTTCCTTTTTCAGCTTTTATTAATATTCGGTAATTTGTCTCGCGAAGCGTGAATCATAATCTGCTCATAAAATAAGCCATTGCCACTTTTTTCCTTTCTGAATTACGACACCACGCGTTTTTGTGTTTTATTATATGCATTTTGAAGTTTCTGATTACGTTTTAAACGACATTGCCTTCGGGAAAGGTTGCGAGCATGGAAGGGGCACTGGCTTCTAAGAACAGTAGAAAGAGGAAAATGGTGCAGAGCGACGATGAGGATGATGGTGTTGGAAAAGTGTGCAGGTTCAAAATCCTATTGCCAAACGGGATGAGCGTGGAACTAACATTACGCGATCCTGAACCGGAAATGTTGTTTGGAGATTTTATGAACTTGGTGAAAGAAAAGTACTTAGAAGCTCGTAAGCACCACGAGTCAATGAAGAAGAGAAGGGACATTAACTGGAAGGGTGGTGCTCTTTTTCTTCGAGATGCCAATGATGCAAAGATCAGGAACGTTATTAAATTGAAAAACTTTAAGCCGAACAAGTGCCATACTCTACGGTTTCATGTCAGTATAGCCAATTAGCTTTACTGTTTTGTTTCTGTGTAATTGTGTTTTTTTTTTTTTTTTCAAAAAGAATTTCACTTCCAGTGTATTTTTCCTTTGCTTTTGAGTTTAATATTTTCCCTTTGTTCATTTGCTGAATCATCAATGTTTCTCCTTTTGTTTGATTTTATGGACTTCTGAATCAGGATGGGAGTAGCGATATTGCCGAATCTTTTGAGGTTAGAATTCTCGATTGCTTTTCTGTTCCTGCTGGTGATGTTTCTTGTCACGATATGTGATAATGATTATTTGATTATGTTTGAAATGCAGAATATGTGGGATTTGACGCCAGATACTGATCTGTTACTGGAGCTTCCTGAAGAATATACTTTCGAAACCGCTCTCGCAGACTTGATTGTGAGCTTTTAACAAAAAAACAGAGTACAATCTCGTTTGGTTTTTTCACATCTTGGCAGGCACTAATATTACTATTCATTCATCAGGATAATTCCTTGCAAGCTGTATGGTCTAATGGGGAAAATAATAGGAAGCTAATTAGGTATGATTGCATGATATTGACATCAATGTGATAGTGATATTGTCTTTTTAGTCGTTACGTAAAATAGAAGGAAAAAAGATACTGTCTTGCGTTAATTCAGTGATAATTTGTACAAGCAAATAAGAACTTCTTGGACCGTGTAGTAAAATATCTTTTTAACCTGTATAATTTAATCTTAAATCGATACATATATATCTTTTGGTAATCTGATAATCGTTTGTTTTCAATTGATAGTAAGTAATAATTCTCAAAGTACTACAATAGAAACTCAGTGTAGCTGCCCTGAGGAAATCTATAACTTACTGTGAACACAATGTATATTTTATATTCCCAATTCTAATCTATGGAAATTTAAGATATTTGATTATTTAATGATTAATAGCCACTACTGTTTATGACATAAATTATTGTCAGCTTTTCTTATTGTAATAATTTTTGTGGATTAAAAAAATACATAGGTGATTTTTATTGTCTCGTGTTTGCTTACTTGGTTTTTGACATTCATGCTCAATGACCACTTATTGATGCGTATTTTTCGATTTGCAGAGTAAATCTGGGTAAAGATAAGCTTTCAATTTTTGACAATGGGCCAGGGATGGATGACACTGATGAGAATTCCCTTGTCAAGTGGTATCTGTTTGATGTATTTTTACTTCATGAACATCTTGAAGTTTGCAAATTCAATGCTCACATTTTGTCATCTGAGTAAAAAATTAAGACATTTAAAATGAATTTTAGCTACACATATTTGTCAGGTAAATGCAAAACCAATAATTTACTTTTTTTGTGCTAGGATTTAATTTTGATTTACTTCCATTGCAGCTGAAAAACCTTAGTTTATTAGAAAAATATGTACTTTCTTTCTTAAGGATAGTGTAAAAAGTATATGCTGATTGTAAACTAATTAAACTCTTCTTTTGATGTTGATGGGCAAAGGGATTGAAGTCTAGGTGACAGAAATAAAATTTCAGTTGAAATGAAAAAATTGCTTGTAGATATTTATTGGCGAAGCAGTTTTCAGTTTGATGGTTCGTTGGTATATTTTGGAGGGATTGTGACGGCTAGTGTGTTGGGGATATAATAATCAAATAATTTCTGAAAACAAATTTTAGAATTAAATTCTAAGGGCTGTTCGGTTAGTGAAAACATTTTCTATTTTCATTAATAATTACAAAAATGTCATCTTAATTTTTTATATGGTTTTTAATTTTCTGGTAACTAGACTATTTCTTGTATAAATCTTTTACAAGCAAAAAAAAAAGTGTGACTAAAGTAGCAATTTTATATTTATAAAAATGCAAAGCAATGTCGAAAATGGAAAAATTTTAAAAAGTGTAATGTTGCACTTCTTTCGTGATTCTCTATACAGCCCAACGTCATTTCTAATAAGAACATTCTATTTATCGATCACACTTGTTTTCAAGACCCTTATATTTATTAGTGAAAACATAAATATTATCTTTTTGAAGTAAATGACCCCTAAAATGTCAATTCTGTTCACACATTATAAAGGTGTCCAAAATAGCACCAAATCTTCAAACATGCTAGCATTTGATCTTCACAAATTAATATTTATCTTTATTTGTACTTCGATCTGACAATATTCCTGATTAAATAACATTCAATTTCAATCAATTTTTAAAAGCCATTCCTAGGGACTTTTATCTGCTACATATTATACTGTCTTCTCTTAATTATTAGACTTTTCATCTTTTGTGCAGGGGAAAGATGGGTGCTTCACTTCACAGATCTTCTAGATCACAAGCTATTGGAGGAAAACCACCATACCTAATGGTATTTTTTAATTTTCTCAGAGTTTTCCCTTCAAATTTTGTTGAACATGTTTGCTGTAATATGCCTAAATATTTATATTATTTTGAGCTAGAAGTGCATACCTTTGTAAATCTTGCATTGTTAATTAGAAATATTTCCTTTATATTACCTTTTGGTGAATACTTCATTGTCTTTGATGCTTATGCACATAGAAGGATGAAAATGTTACTCAGAAGGGGGGAGGGGGTAGATTACACCTTTGTTGTTTTAATCTAATTGTAGCTTTGTTGAGGTTAATCGTGCAGCCTTATTTTGGAATGTTTGGATATGGTGGACCAATATCATCTATGCATTTGGGGAGGTATGATTTCTTCGATAAAAATAATCTGTTTTATTTATGTTCTATTTCTCTTCAAGTCCTTCCCCAAAATATATCGCTGTATCACTCACTGTCTCTTCTTTATGTTTTCTGCACATTGAAGGCGTGCTTTAGTTTGTTCTAAGACAAAGCATGTGAAGAAAGTCTACATGTTACTTCTTGAAAGGGAAGCTTTGTTAAGCTCATCTAGCTCTAAACTCACTTGGAAGGTATTCATGTTTCTCTAACAACGCAATGCCATTGGTGCTTTCTTTTCTTTATTGTTATTTGTTTATGCTCTCAACTGACAATAGCATGTTACTTTTATATATTTATGTCTCATTTAGACCAGTGGTGGCATCAGGGATCCCTCAAAGGAAGAGATCAGGGATTCTCATGGGAGCTTTACAAAGGTGCATAACATCTTTCATCTTTTGCCTCTTTTTGCTCCTCTTATCTGTTTTTGCCGTTGTGTATCTACTTTTGTCTTTCACCACTTAATCGTGTAATTATATAAAAAGCTACATGTCCCTTACCTGAATTGAGAATTATCAACATTTTTGGCTCCTGTAACTGTTCCAAATATTTTACTTAGGCAGGATGCACGATAATTTAAAATGATTAGCAGTAGTACTCAGAGAGCATTTGGGACATATTGAGTTCCACAGGGCTCTTCTATTTGTGTATTTACCTTTTATTTAAGTTAAAGTCCATTAATCACTGAAAATTCAATGATGGATACATCCTTACTTGTGGGAATTTCACTTTAAAAGAGCTCTTTCCATGGATTTGATATTCTAAAATGTGAGCACAGTCAATTTTCTGTGACATATATCATTACTTTTATTTATTACTCTGTTTCTAAATATATTTATGTTTGCATAAACCCTCAATTTTGTCCTCCAAAATTACGAGTCATCGCATAAGTTTTTGAAAAATTTTTGTCCACTAAAAATTTAAGCTGTTAATTATCAAATTAGTCTTCCACAGAGTTTATCATTACAAAGTCCCCTAAGGATTTAATTTTTCACCAAAAATTAGTCTCTCCTCAACAATCAATTATGGAGAATTAGAGTGGTGACAAGAAGCATCTTTGAGAATTAATTTGATGACGGATTGAATTTTTGAGGGATCAATTTGGTGACAATTTCTGGAGGATTATACTGACAAACAATCTTTTTGGAATTAATTTGATGAAAACTTTCGAAGACTTAATTGAGGGTTATATATAGGCAAATTATCAAAAGAGATAACATTTTTTACATGAGAGTAAGAGAAATAAGCCTTGATCATTAAATCTTAACATGAATGCTCAGGATCATTAAACATACAAGTCATGTGAGTTTTTTAAAATGTCATATGATCTTTTTAAGTGATCCTGTTACTTTTCAAATATTTTAATCTTGACCATTTTTGTCTGGTTGTACGGTCTAAATTTACTCTTCTCATTCTCAAAAAGGTTCGGTTCCTTTCACACTCTCTCTGTGTATATATCTGTCACTTATTCATATATACAAAAATTTGGTACGATACATTGCAGGTTGAAATTTACAAAGCAAAAGTAAAAGATATTGACATAAACAGACTTCAGTGCTACCTGAAGGACATTTATTTCCCCTACATTCAGGTTCGATTTCCTCCAAATAATTGAATAACTTTTTTTAATAAGCTAAATATATATTAATTCAATGAGTACCAGATGTACTCAATCCAACAAGAGTCTAGCAGGGAATAACAATAATGTTAGGCATGCAGACCAGTGGAACTTGGTAACATTAGATGACTACTACAATAACTGTACCAGTAACAACATTTCCACCCCCACAGATTGAATGAAATATCTTATATTCTCAGTTTTTGTCATCACCTTGCTTTAGATGTTTATTTTTTTTATACTGTTGTCAACATACAAAATGATCTTTAACATTATATTTATCAGTTGTGTGTTTCACTAGTAATCTACTGCTCTCTATATTGTCAAGTTGGTGCTTCTTGTCAATAGTAGTCTGTTGAACTTGTTTTTGTTTGTGAATAGAGAATGCCATTTTCTTCCTCTTGCTACTTTTCTTCCATCCTCTGTATTTGAAGGGGTTTCTCTGGGTCAAAATTATTAGGCTTATTTGGGGTTGGGCCTACTATATGTACTCCTTTGTACATATTAAAACTATATTTGGACATGTCATGTAATGAAATATAATAAGAAAGAACGAGTTGGACCAGGTATTCATTGAGTTCACTGTTTGAAATGAACGTACTTTTGTCCCTAGTGTTTTGTTCTGCAACCAACCATGAGGCATTGGCTTTTTCAACTCTTTTCTTTTCTCCCTTTTATGATTCTAGTACATGGTTATCAAATTTCTACATTGATGTTAGTGAAATTTCAACACCCAGACTAACTCATCTTTGAAATAATTGGTTCAAGTTCTTAAAATTCCTTTTCTTTTTATATTTTTTGAACAAAATATTACTTCTCACCTGAATTGAATATATTTGTTTTTAATTATTTTATTCTTGCAGAGTGATGACATGTTTGATAGAGGGAAGACTATTACACCAATTGAGTTTAAGGTATATTGGCACTAGTTCATTAATACTATTATAGCTCTATCTCATGTACATCTACACTAATTAATCCAATAAATAATACCAATTTATATAAAAAAGATATAAAATGTGTAATCTATTTCTCTGAATGTTTAAATGCATTTTTGGTCCGTATATGAGGTCTATTGTTTCAGTTTGGTTCTTAAGGAAAAAAGTTTATAAATAAATTCTAAATGAAAAAATGTTTTCAAAATGGTTCTTACTGTCATCTTGTAGTTTAACATTGTTAGTTCATAATATTTCTTTTTATTTTAATTAGGATACATGATACATTTATTTTAGGTTAAATTATAAATTTAGTCCATGTACTAGACACGTTTTTGTAATTTGGTCCTTACATAAAAAAAAAGTTACAATTTAGTCTTTACATGTGTCAACACCATTTAGTCTTTATAGTTGATATTTATTTACAAATTAGTTACTATAGTTAACATTTACATTTTCTTCCTTATATGAGTTTTTTTTATATTTCAGTTCTCGTATAACGGTGTTAACATATTTTTAATAGTAAGGACTAATCTAAAAATATGTGTGTTAAACTAAAAATAGAAAAATTGAGGACTTGTTTAGAAAAAACAGGATATGAGGTATTGAATGAAAAAATCGTGAAATTTTAAAAATTAGAAGTTATATTTTCGAGCAAACTTGTATTTTATGTGGTTTCATATCCTAAATATAGTAAATTTCTTTCAAGAAAAAATTCTTTTTCAAATATTTTATAAAAATTGATATATAAAAATTATAATGAAAATATTAGTACTGATACTTTCATTTATTTGAATGTAAGATAAATGAAAAACATATAAAATAAAAGAACTATTAATTTAAGTTCTTGGGATTGAATTTTGTTAATCTTGTATTCAAAACATGTTTGATTCTTTACTAATAAAAAATTTTATTCTATTTTATAGAAATTTTTTTGACGTCAGTCCTTCGGGTTAGTTTAAGTATGTAAAAGCAATAAGTTTTTATTGAAAAAGAATGCATGTACTATATTTAAGTTATAAAAGTGTAAATAAATATTTTTCATTTCAATAAATTTTTTTTATGATTTATTATCTTTGAGATATGAAATTACATTAGATATAATTTACTTGAAGCTATAAGTTTCTAGTCTCTTAAGTTTGTGAATTTTTCATTCAATATCTCATTTTTTTTTTCTTAACAAGTCCATAATTTGTTTTTTATTTTTGGTTGGAATACACATTTAGTTGTTATAATTGATACTTATTTACAAATTAGTCCTTATATTTAACATTTATGTTTTAGTTCTTATATTAGTATTTTCTTTTACGTTTCAGTCCTTCTCATCAATGCCATTAACATGTTTTGAATGGCAATGACAAATCCAAAAATGTAGTCTCATGTAGAGACTAAATTGTAACTTTCTTTTGTGTAGGGACCAAATTAAAAAAATGTGTCAAGTATAGATACTAAATTTATAATTTAACCTTCATTGTGTTATGGTCCCTATTGATGTTATCAAAATGGGGATCCTACATAGGATCGGAAAGGGGGGTATAGCATTGTAGATCATAGGATCATAACAAAGATCAGAAGATCCTACTAATCATACAAAATAATACCTAATCATATACATATGTATAAAAAAATAGCATAGATAAATAAAATATCCTCCAAATCACATGCATTAACTAAATATAACTTAAAATTAGCCAAAAAAGTAATAAGTTTTTCATAAGATATACAAACATAAGTCCAGAAAATAAAGGACCCATGAATTGCAGCCACAAACAAATGCAGTGGCAAAGAAGAGCAAATTGAAATTTGATACTTCGAAGTCAGCTGACATTCCCTCCTTTTGATACTCCATAATATGTATAATTAAAACCCGTTATGTAACTCTTAAACACCACTGTCTTGTAACAATCTCAATCAATGATGACTTTATTCAAATTAAGTTAATAAATTTCCCTTTGTGTAGCCTCTCTTGATCCATCATCACCATCAAGTGCCAAAGTCATTCAAGTTTTTTTCTTTTATTCTGTGGGAGAGTAATGAAAGTATTTTCTTCAGTTCTACTCCTTCATCTCATCAGCGAAAATCCATGGTTAAGTTTGCTTAGATTTTTATGTTTAATAATTAGGAACTGCTTAATTTTTTGTTTATCACATTGTACCTTTGCTTTCGTATGTTTTGTAGGGACTAATTTAAAATGTTCTTCCATAAAGGGAACAAAACAAAAAATATATTATGTCAACAGGCTACAATGAAAAAATGTGTAAAATGTGAGATAATGGCAGTGACCATTTTTAAAATGTTTCTTAGATCCAGGACTCCTCTACAGACTTTTTTGGTATAAGGACCAATAAAAATTCAAACCTTTTTTCTTTTGTATGAGGCTATGAGCATAGCAGCTTTCATATTGAAGCATATTTCCACTGTCTCAACTAAGATTTGTTTAAACATCTCATGTCATACACTTTATTCAAATTTACATGTAACTCATGTTTTTTATGAAAACAAAAATTAGGATATGAAAAGCATATTAGTGTAATATTACGAAGTACTGCAATGAATTTTATTCTTTAATAGGTCAATGATGTTGACTTGACTGAGGTTCAAGGTGGTGAGGTTGCAATCACCAATTTGCATTCTTGCAACGGTCCTGAGTTTGTTTTACAGCTTCACCTTTCCTTAGTAGCAGGCAATGATGGCATGAAAAGTGCAGGTAAACTTCTTTAACTCCGTAAAATCTTGTTCTCTCTTGTGATGGACAGTGTAAGATAAATGGTATTGCCATGTTATTATGTCTAATGTTGGTAGTGTTTATTCTTTCTGTCTGATCAACTGTAAAGAAATGTGAATGCAAGTTCTATTTGAATTATTGTATTTTAGGTTCAAAAGAACTCCAAGAAGCAAATGCATGCCTGAAGTTTGTATATCTCCCATTCATAAAGGTAACGAACATAGCATATGGTGCTCAATTGTTCTAGATCTCAATTTCAGGTTCAATCCAATAAATGATTCTAAGTTTCAGGGAAAAGAGAATATAGAGAGAGTTTTGGAAAAGTTAACGGCTGATGGGTGTGTTATAAGAGAAAATTTCCAAAGCCTTAGTCGTGTCTCTGTTAGGCGGCTTGGACGTTTACTCCCAGATGCTCGCTGGGTAAACTTCCAACCTTGACATTGAACTTGCACAGAATATTTCCCTTATGGTTTGGTTTTAGTAGTGGTTTTCTTATCATTATTATTATTATTATTATAGCTATATAATTACTTTATTTTGAATGCTCCAACCTTGAAATTGAACTTGTACAGAATATTTCCCTTATGATTTGGTTTTAGTAGTGGTTTTCTTCTTCTTCTTCTTATTATTATTGTTATTATTATAGCCATATAATTATTTTATTTTGAATGCAAAAGATTTTCGGTGTTTTGGTCATTTCGTATTTTTACCCCATGTGTGATAACCATACAGTGTTTATGAAGGGAGCTTGAACAACGGCTATACTTTACTTAATATCTTAATATATATTATAGTATTAGGTCAGTCTTTGTATTATCTCATTAATGTCCAAGCTTTCTTTTATGTTTTCCATGTTTTGCTTTTGATTTCAATGCATACCATCATATGCCACATTTTCTCCTAAATTCTGTGTTGAAACTATTTTCTATTGTTACGTTGGCAACATATTATGTTTCTGTCGGATCTAGTGTGCATCTTACAATTGGACAACATTATATCTCTAAATATTTTTCTTTATGGTTTTTGTTCATATTAAATAATTATCTTAGCAATAGGTTGACTTTTCGCTTCTTACTTTTTTTGTATTTTTTAAGTTTTAATCATCTTGTTTCAATGATTACTTTTGACTTGTATTTATATTATCTTTTGGCCAGACTTTTCTTCCTTTTATGGACTCCAGGAATAAAAAGGGAATCAAGGCTCAAATATTGAAGAGATGTTCCCGGAGGGTGAAATGCTTCATTGGTACATCATCACCAGATACTTTCATAATTACTATTGGGTTGTTTGTTTGGACTTCTGAATTAGACTTTCTAATTTGCAGAAACTGATGGAGGCTTTAAGCCAACACTTTCCAAGGTTTGGCTTGCGGTACTTTTAACATATTAGTAAATAAATGTTATTATGCCTCTTTTACTGTCCTAACCTTTATATTTGTCTCTAATTGTTAAATGATTTTGTCTTGGCTTTAAACTAATTTTGAATCATGTTATCTGGACTAGGAAGTGATCTCAACCCAGATTAGTAAATGACAAAAACGTTTCCTTGTTGCATGCCACATGGCTGTTGATTAGTTTGAAATAGTGGCAAAATATTAAGTACAGGACCAACCAATCATTAATTTTTGATTAATTCTAAGTGGAACTATTAACTTTTATTATAATTGAACCTTAATTTGTATTGTTTAATAATGTGTTTGCTTTTATTCTGTAGCATTAATTTTCTTACTTGTATGATAATTTAATTTTAGGAACCTTCAATACTTAAATGAAATTGTTTATAAATATTTAATATTTTGTATTGCACAAACTCGTTACTTCCCATGTATGGAGTTAGAATTTCTAGGATTGAGCTTCTATTGATAAGTGTATTAGGTTTTATAAAATGGGTTAAATGTATAATATAACTTGATATTTTCTTGGAAATTCCATATAACTATACGGTATGTATGTTATGAGTTTGGGAATCATAAGGTTGAGATAAGAGAACAAGAAACACTAACACAGGATGAATCTGTGTGTTTTGACTATACACCGAAACATATATTTATAATAGAAACTATTGATACAAAATAAGAAGTTATTATAATTACAAAGATATTATACTTTCCCTATTTATAATATTACTATAATTACATAATTCCAACACTTTCACTCAAGCAAGAGTATATAAATCATATGCACCAAGCTTGTTGCATATATAACTAATTTAGAGACCTATTAAAGACTTGGTATAGACATCTGCCAGTTGATCATGAGAATTTCAAAGCTAGTAGTGATGTCTCCAGTTAAAATCTTCTCTCTAATCAAGTGACATTATATCTCTCTGCGTTTAGTCATCTCATAAAAAATTGAATTTGACGTAATATGTAAAGCTACTTGATTATCATAAATAAGTGTCATCTCTCTAACTTCTCTACATCTCAATTCTTTGAGTAGTTGTTTAAGTTATATAAGTTCACAAGTGGCTAGAGCCATGACTCGATACTTTGCTTCTGTACTAGACCTTGCAACTAAGCTTTGCTTCTTTTTTTTCCAAGAAACTAAATTTCCACCAACAAGGATTCAATAGCCCGATGTAAACCTCCTATCACTAGGTGATTTTGCCTAATCTCATCTGAATACCCCACAACTTGAGTACGTCTTTTGTCTTCATATAAGAGACATTTTTCTATAGTTCCTTCAATATATTTCAAAATGTGGATTATTGCATCCCAATGTCTATCACAAGGAGATTTAAGGAACTGACTCACCATATTGACTGCAAAAGAGATGTCTGGATGAGTAACTATCATATAATTTAATTTTCTAACAAGTCTCCTATATTTTTTTGGTTTCTCCTAACCTAACAGAAGTTTAGTATTAAGATCTATTGAAGTATCGATAGGTTTGGGCCCCATCAATCCTGTTTTCTCTAGGATATCTATTGCATACTTCCTTTGAGAAATTACAATACCATTCTTGGATTGTATTACCTCAATTCCCAAAAAGTATCAAAGTCTACCAAGATCTTTTGTTTGAAAGTGATGACGAAGGTGTTGCTTTATCTGTTCAATGCTATGATGATCACTTCTTGTAATGACAATGCTATCTACATACACAATTAAGTAAATACAACTTGAGGTTGAATGATAGTAAAAAACATAGTGATCTTTTTCACTTTGAGTCATGCCAGATTGTTCAACTACCATGCTGAATCTGCTAAACCATATCCTTGGAGGTTGTTTGAGACCATAAAGGAATTTTTGAAAACGACAAACAAATCTTGAAAACTCCTCTTGACCAACAAATCCATGAGGTTGCTCCATATTCTTCTTCAATATCACCATGAAGAAAAACATTCTTGATATCAAGCTGAAAAAGAGGCCAATGAAAAATAGCAACCATAGATATGAGTAGTCGGGCAGATGTCATTTTGGCTACTATGGAGAAAGTGTCATTGTAGTCCAAACAAAATATTTATGTATAACCTTTGGCCACCAAACGTGTCTTAAGGCGATCAATCTTACCGTTAGGACCAACTTTGACCATATAGATCCACATGTAATCAACAAGAGTCTTCCTAGGAGGGAGAGGAATAGGGTTCTAAGTACCACTATTCTAGTGAATACATATTTCATCGATCATCACTTGTTTCCAACTGGGATTTGAGAGAGCATCACCGGACTAAGGAATAGAAATATAGGACAAGGAAGACAAACAAGTATAATGGGAAAAGGACAACCGATGATAACACAAAGAAACATAATGAGGAGATGGATTATGAGTGAAGCATATACCTTTACAAAAAGTAATGGGAAGTTTAGTCTTAGGAGGCAAGCTCAAAGGAGGGATGGTGAGTGGCACTGGAAGTGAGTTAGAAGTCGGACCAGTAGACGTTGACGGTACAGAGAGGGGCTGGTGACAATGATATACCTTTAGAGAGCGCGAAGGACGTGGTGTGGCGGAAGCATGAGATTGTTTTTGTGGAACATAATAGACAGGCACAGAAGCTAACGGAGGGGAAGGAGGAGACTTAGTGGCTGAAATAGGAGGATTGAGTGTAAGGAAGGGAACAAATTCAAATAAGGTGACATCAGCCGAAACTAAATAGTGGTGAAGAGTTGGAGAATAACACTTATAACCTTTCTGAGACCTAGTGTAACATAGAAAATCACAATTCTGTGACCTAGTGTGGGGAGAGTTTATCAAGTTCGGGACTAAGGTCATGAATAAAGCAGGTGGACCCAAAGACATGAGGGTATATAGGGTGTAGGGACTAGTGAGGGTATAAGATAGAGACTTGGTTTTGAAGAATTGAGGATAACATTTTATTAATAAGTTAACACGTAGTACTTCCCGTAGTGGTCCTTGCTTTTAATAAAGCTCTGCGGGGCCAATTTCTTGTACTTGCTAAGTACATCACCCCAAAAACAATGAAGAACCTAACTATGACACAATAGAGTACGAGCAATTTCAATAAGATGTCTATTTTTTCGTTCAATAACCCTATTTTGTTGTGGGGTATGGACATCAAAGCTCTGATGAAGGATACCATTAGAAGGTATAAAATTTTGAAATTGATTAGATATAGTATTCATGAGCATTATTATTTTGTAAAGTACGAATTGGAACACTAAATTGAGTTTTAATTTAAAAAGGAAAGTTTTAAAAATAGAAAATAACTCAAAACGATCTTTTATTAAAAATAACCAAGTACATCTATAATAATTATCAATAAAAATAACAAAATATTTTAAAAATATTTTGAACCTAAAGTAAATGCAGTATGACTTGGATCCCACACATCAGTGTGAACTAAAGAAAAGGGAGAAGTAAAACGACGATGGACACGACTAGTAAAAGAACAACAAGTATGTTTTCCTAATAGACATGACTCATCGTACAAAGTAGATAATTTGGAAAGACTTAGTATTAAGTGTTGTAACTTGGTTAAACTAGGATGTCCTAACTGAGCATAAATAAAAAGAGGTGAATTAATTACTGAACCAGTATGAGCAGAAGCATTTAAATGGTAGATACCATGAGACTCACATCCGGTGCTAATCATCCTTCCCGAACTTCAGTCCTACAGGTAAACAAAATCTTTTGTGAAACAGATAATACGATCAAGGGAACGAGTGAGGCGACTAATGAAATGTAAGTTAAAAGGGGATTTGGGAACATATAGAACATTATCAATAGAGTGGGAGGAAAAGGGGAGACAATACCAATACCCTGAGATTGTGTTTGAGACTCATTAGCAGTTGTGATAGAGGGTAAATAATCAGATGAAGAAATAATGGAAAAAGTGATTCCATGGTCCAAAGAAGGAAGAGGGAGAGACACCAACAAAAGAATTTATCCATGTGTACAATAGAAGCAGTGGGACCAGAGGCTTAACGCTCCTCAAACCATTGAAGAAAGTCACTGTATGTGGGTGAAGAAACGTGTTGGCGGTTGCTGAATTTTGATGTAGGAAGGGGTAGAGGTGGCCATGGCACAGATTGGAGGATAAAGGACAGATTGCAGCAACTCCAACAAAACAAGCGGTAGCTGGAGACAGTGTTGGACATGCTATTAAAAAAAAGCATGCCGGAAAATTCGCCAGTGGTGTGAACATTGGCGGCCGGAAAAAAAAATCAGAAACCAGAGACACACATGGTTTCTTAAAAAAAAATACACCTATGAGCAGTAGGCTCACATGAAAAGGACAGATTAGAGTTTCCTCTTTGTTAGGCTCTTGATACCATGTTGAGAAAAGAGAACAAGAAACATAGGTAGAATCTTTGTGTTTTGACTACACACTAGAACATATATTTATTTATAATAGGAACTATTGATATAGAATAAGATATTACTATAATTACAAAGATACTACTTTCTTTATTTATAATATTACTATAATTACATAATTCCAACACACAATGTGTGTGTTTGTTTATTGATTTAAAGCTCCATTGTTAATTGTACTGAATTATGATGCATGTAGGGCTATAGAAAGAAAGATAGCACAGATTTTGGTGTGTTCTCCAGTTTGATTAAGTAGTTGTGTAACTGTAAATCATGTAACTTGCAAAATATTTCAAGAATCAATTAACTTGGCCCAATGAAAGCTGTTCAACGTGTCGGCTTCCATTATTTCAATGACTTGGAAACTTTTTGATCTAATATTGATTATATTTATGGGATGCGCGTATAAAGACAGTTCTCCTTTCAGCTCAAGACAACAAAAGTGCACATCATTTTTTTCACTTGTTTTATGTGTGCACATGGAAGTGGGAGAGTAAAATGGAAAACAGGATATACCTGTGGATATTGGATATAAAGCATATGTATCCTATGATGATCTGGTCTTTTTTATTCTTCTTGACTAAATGATCTTCAACAAACTGTTGGGTTTTCAGACTGATCTAGCACACCACAATCCTTTCACCACTTGTTTGAAGAATTTGGGCAATAAAATTTCAGACAATGAGAAGGGTATTTTCTTCTTGTTAATCCCTATAACCCTTTTCAACTTTATTGTCACGATTATTTGATTCCAACTTATCAGTTATTTAAATTCAGCAGATGTTACTTTTGAAATTTGGAAGGGTACAAAAGAGTTAACTCTTTTACAGCTAGAAAGGGAGTACCAGGAGTGGATATTACACATGCATCGTCAGTATGATGAAGAATTTGATGCTGGCGAGGATAAGCCAGTTATCATTGTCGGTCCAGCAAATGCAAAGGAACTTGGCATCTCTTCAGACGGTAGGTGTCAAGGACTAAACAGATTTTAATGGCATTTTTTCCATTCTTTTTGTTGCAAAAGTGATGATCTTTGCCCTGTGGCACGCAGTTCAAACCGGAGAGTTTTGGAGAAATGTAGCATTGTAGCTATCGTGATTTGTGATTCTTTTTTAACTTCTGAGTGAATCCCAATCTATATATTCCACACACTTGAATACTAAAATACAAGTGTTGATTCTCTATGAAGTAAATTTGTGATTTAGACACAAAAAGTAAACTTTAATGCAGTCACACATAGTGAGAATGCTAGTTAATATTGCTTCTCCTGAACAAAAGGAAAATACTTTTGTCTAATCGTCCTTTTTCTTATTCATTTGTAGTAATCAGAGTTCATCAGGTTTTTAAGAGAGAGGAAAAATCTTGGAAGCATGGCCAGAAAATTAAAGTGTTAAAGGGAGCATGTGCAGGGTGTCACCAGACCACGATTTATGCAACCATAGAATATTTTTTGCTTGAAGGTTTTGAAGGAGACACTGGTGGTGAGCTTTCAGATTGTAGTCAATAAGAAAAGCATTAATTATGACAATCCCTAATGGAGAACTGTAATACCAAAGGTATACTCCTTTGGAGAAAGGTACTCATGAAGTTCTCCTGTAGGATGGGTACTCTCCCGAGTCCCGACTCACATTAAATAGGAATAGAATTCAAATATTATTCAAACCTGTTTACACAAAGCGCCTATTTATATGCCAAATAAACCCTCATCCAAAGATAGGTCCAAAATTGAAAAGCCTAATCAAATGAAATTAAAAAAGAAAAAAATAAATTCTAAAATACCCAAATAATTCACAAATTAAAACATTGAAATCCCAAACCAAAACACTAATTACAAAATCAAATCCCTACTTTACAAGACGAAAGAAATAATTCATTTCACATCTTGTATTTATTTAACATATTGTGATAGGAAAATAATGTAATTAAGGATTCATGTACGTGTTTTCTCATTCTGTTAAGTCTCGACATTGTATCTAAAGCTGTACATCAGCATGAGTACTTTTGAATCAACATATTTGATGTAAAATTTCGTAGTACAAAATATGATGATTTTTTAATTTTATCTATATCAGTATAATGCTGATATCAGCAGATATATACTTCTATGGTTCTATACATCAGCATATGATACATACTATACTTTTAGTTGCTACGAATGCATTAAAAATTGAATAAATTTAATAAAAGTATTTAGTAAATAGTTAAAAATCACGTCTTTTGATTGTTAAAAAAGCATATTTCATATTTCAAATAGGTTTTCAGTTCTCTTTGGCTAGATCCTCCTCTTAATGTGGATATCTATACTTATTTCATACACTAAAGAACAGTTAGGGATCAGAGTCCGATTATATTTACCACTAATAGATTGAAAGTTGACTAGATTATTGTGAAAGAAAATCTAAAAGTTGTAGTTCACCAAAATATTATAGGATTGAACAGTACCATGGCGGTGCAATTTATTATGTAAACAACTTTAAGTTTCTTCTTCTGTTGTCTGCCTTTGTTTTTGTTGGTTTATTTAATGCTTTTAAGCCAAAGTCAAGATTTGTGTGAGAAGATGCTACATTGATATCAAGGATGTTTTTATTTGGTTAACACTAAGAAATATTATTAGTTTATTATGTCAAACATCTGTTATTGAAGCCCCTTTGATTCCAAGAGAAAAGATAAAAATAGGTGCTCTCCCTCTCTTCCCTTGTGCAAAAAACACAAGAAGGGAGTAAGTTTATTAATTGATGACATACTTATATCGTCAGAAATGTTGTAAGTTTTAACTTCACCTTAGAAATAAAGTTTAATTTGCGACTTGGTTAAATTGACCACTTTTTAGTTTCATTGTTATAGGAGAAGCCCGAATCATATGCAGGTAAGTTCATATTCTTGTGAAACTTTGTTTAAATCATACGATTCCTCTAAAGGTTTTACATCTCAAGATTTATTACTCGTGTTTGTTTGATTTTAAAGGCCAATAAATATCCCAGATGAGAATGGTTGCTTCCTCTCAGTCAAGGATGAAGATGCATGTTTGGAAATCCGGGGCTCTTTGTCTTTACCTCTAAGTGTGATAGACTCTGGAAAGGTTGTGTGATTATGTTTTTATGTGTTTAGTACGGTTGAAAGATTTTCTGATTTCTAAGGAGTTTTAACAGCTCGTACCTGTTGAAAATATTGAATGGGAAAAACAACTTAAAAAGGAACAACTAAAATCTCCTTTGGTTGACGTGCTGGGTCCTCCAAATCAACATCTGGAGGCTAAAGGGGTTAGTACTTTTTTTCCCATAAATTTTCCCATAATATATTTATCCTTACTGAGTTATATCATATGCAACATCAGAAGATGACTCGCATCTATTTTACAAATGACTTCAAAATTATATCTGTTTTTGACTCAATTGGAGTAAATATTAATGACAAACATGACAATTGATTTTTGGATGACCATTCCAAAAGCTTAATTTGGAACTTGTTTTTTACAATGGATAAACTGCTTCAAATTTCTAAAATGCCTGGGTCCTGACTGCTAGTGAATTCCGAATGGTATAATTGTGTTCTACTTTCTAAATAATTGATTTAGGATATGTTTCCTTTTTTTAGCTATATCATTTATATTTATTTTCTTTTTATTAAAAATCTTTAGAAGGGACTGATAGTATTCAATAAAGGACAAGCAATTATACTCAGAATAAGTTACTTAAAAAGAGGCTTTAAATTGCAATTTGCAACTGTGATTGGGAGCATATTGTTGTGATTTCTGGAGTCTGCACAACTGCATCGCAACTGCAATTGTGGCTTTATTGGTTGTATTTCACTCACATTTTCAGTCAGGACAATTTTTTTATCAAGTTCCTTCCTTGCCATAACATTGAACATTAATTTCTTCCAAACATTAAGTACCTTCCATTAAAATATGTTAATGTATTAGAAAAATGAATATTCTTGTAATTACTAAATATGTGAACTTATTGGCAGGAACATGATTTAAATTTTATCCCTTGAATAACTGCAAGATGACCAAAACTACATGGAATAAAACCTAATTGAAAGTGATTGAGGTGTCTTTAATTATGTGGGAAAATCAAGTCAAATGGTCTTTTCTGCATTGTAATTATGAAAAAGTGATGGTGGAGATTCCATATCCTGAGAAACTAAAATTAGTCAAATGTTCTGGGTTTTTCTTCTGTCCTCTCTGAAAATAATTTTGCTATTTCTAGTACCATTTCATGTATCTTTACACTTTACAGGTGTGTTTTGCCTATTAATTCATTAATTTTTGCTGCCAAAGTGCCCTTAAAAAATGAGTTGTAACAGTTATTCCAACAAGGCGGCAATTGATTTTGTAGTTCATGCTATAGAAAAGTTGGACCAAATTTATATTTGCTAGAGTAATCTATTTGTCAACAAAAGTAAAATTTAAGAATGTAGGCCTTAATGTTGAAAAAGTGATTTTTTTTATAGATTTTGTGACACCGCATTATTGTTTTTTACCATGGGATACAAATTGGCTACAGTATTTCACATGACTGGTTGCTACACATTTCATTATTTCTTGTAAGATGTCACAAACTGGTAATGTATTTGATGGTCTTTACTCCTCTTTGCAACTTACTAGTATTTCTATGACGTGTAATGTAATATTATCTTGGTAATTTTGTCACTAGCTGGACTCAAACTGTAAAAGTTTTGAGAAAAAGGCAATCGTGGAGCGTTCTCATCTTGTTGGGAAGTGTAGACTTCTAACCAGTGTCCAAAATCCACAGCTGGATGTTAGGTATGATTGCTTTACATGGTGGTTTATAAATTTCTTCTCAAATTGACTAAGACCTACATTTAACATATCTTTCCTTCACAAAGCTTTTATAGTTTTTCAGCTATGTATTGCTTTGCACATTGCTGTTTCTCTGATTGAAATGTTCTGTGTAATTATAGATTCTTATACATTTTCTGATGATCAAGCTTATGTTTACTTTGGTACTTTCTTGTTAACATGCTTTGTTTAACAGGGTTGGTTCTACTTTGCCAACCTTAGACATTGCATACTATGATATCTATAATAGGCAAGCACCTTTTCATTCAATTCCGGACGTAACTGTCAAACTTCAGACAGCTGTGGCATTGCATGTTGAAGTATGTGGCTTGAAGATTTGTCTTTCAACTGACAAATTGACTTTAAAAATTATGGTATGCTTATTAGGTGCTTCTTAGTTCTCAATGATAAAGTTAAAAACCTAATGTTTTGTTTTTTGATGCCTGATACAGAATGTAATGATCATAAGTAACGAACTCGACAAGATAAAGCCAAGCTATTGTGCCACCTTGTTTATTGCTTCAAATAATGTACCACTGTCTCTTTCCATTCCATGTCGAGGTGCACATGATTGGTCCATGTTTTCAATTCATAGGAAATGATTTAGTTTTCTGTGTTGCTTGTTCTTACCTTTTTCCTTTATGTTGCTTATTTTCAGTTTATCCAGCTTTTCTTAACCGTGTTGTACTCAAGCCTAAAATAATAGAAGACCAACTACTTCCAGGTTTCATTTTCAAGGAGCTAATGTTGGAGGTATCTTGGAATGTGTAAAATTGAGAGTTTTCTTTGGATTCATCTGCTTGATTTGTTTTTTTCATTCTTGCATGGGGGTGGGACTCAAGGGTCAAGGAGCATAAAGCATCAAAGGATAAAGTGAAAGTTTGCCAAAACTTTCATGATATGATGGATAAATGTTTCAAATTGCACTCTATACTAGGAGTGATCTTGCTATCAAATTAATAGAGAGTGATTATAATCTATGGTTCTTTCTAATTTTTCATACAAACTTCTGAACCAAATCCACGACTAAGATACAAAGAAAGTTATTACTCATGAAAAGCCAAACCTTTTTAGTTTATAGGCCGGCTTGATGAGGAGACAACTGGGTAAGCAACTTAATTAGATGCGTATTCAATAAGCATGTTACATGAGAACACGTCATAAAGTTGACCATGAAGCCATGAAGCTTCTTTAAATGAGCTGAAAATAGATTATACAAAGGTTTAGTTAATCTCAATTAGCAGCACATAGTGATCAATGCCAAAAATGCTATAGTAGAATAGCACATGGTGGGATGGCTGCTATATAGAAATTTTGTATACACATTAAATAATTTATACTATATAAAAAGAAATGATAAAAAATTATTCAATTCATAACATATTCACAATTAAAAAAAGTCACAGGTCTTAATCAAAACATGCTAGTAAATAAGAATAAAATTAAAAAAAAAAAATACAAATGAATGCTGTTGGTTGCAGACTTGCAGTGTGGGCGTAGCATGGTAGATAGAGGCCAGGTAAACTATATCTAGTTAGGGATTTTTAAATTCTGAAAAGGTGGAGAGAAATAACAATGTTTTGTAAAATTTCACTCTAGCACCACTATATTGCCACTACGGCTGCTATTTTGGCTGCAATTGCAGCCACGGTGGTTGCTCTTTGAATTGTTACTTAACAGCTAATAGTCGTTATATTCTGAACATTTTATCACTCCGTGTATTTACCATTATATTACAACTACAAGGTTTTGATCTATTATTGGCAATTGCATGATAGTGAATTTCCAGCTAACATTTGGTTGAATGCATGTCCTCCAGATGTTTGATAGATATGGAAACCGTGTCATTAAAGGCTCGGAGGTTACTTTAGCTGTGGCTGGATTCAATGTACTGGATGACATTGGTATGATACGTAAGGTATTGCTTTTCTTCAATACTCTCAGGTGCATGATGAATACCTATGAATGAAGAATAGCCTGTCTTTTTCATCTGTGAAATATATATATATATATATATTATTAAACAAAAATTTCTTTGATCTGTATAGTATGTATCATACCAAGTGGTGTTTCAAATTTTGGAATACCAAGTGGTGGTTTCACTGGGATAAACATATAAAATGGATTCCTTTTTTTTTTTTTTTTTCTATTTTTTATTTTGATTTTGCCACTGCATAATGCGATGATAACTCTTTTGATAGCATAGACTGTGTAGCTTTGTTGAGATTGCTTAGATTTAATCTGATACACAGGTAGATGATAAGGGAAGAATTGATCTTGGTGGTCTTCTGAAGTTAACAGCAGATTTTGGAGAAAACGGTATGCTGCATGGAAATTTTGATGTTAATATCTATTATCTAATATTTAGATTCAGTTTTAGCTACTGCTCTAACTTTCCTGCTCAAGTTACTTATCATTATTCTCTTGACTTCCACATTTAATATATTGCTGTAAGTTTCAACCTTTCTGGAGGTTAGAGGTATTGCCATGACTAATACGTTATGCAATTTTACAATATAGTTGCAACTTGCAAGCTGCTGCACTGTTTTTTTTGTCCTGATGTTCTTATTTGTTTGATTCATGGTGCAGCATCCATGTCTGTTATGCTTGAAAATCAAACAATTTTCAGGCAGGAGTTCTCAACTGCGAGAAGGAACTTGAGAATTGCATCAGGGGTTAGTTCTTTAAGATGTACATAGAAATATAAATGGTTTATTTGGTTATATTTGAATGGTTGTAATATGATTGGTTTTAGGTGCCTGATTTTTGTGCTGCTGGTGGTCACTTAGAAAACATCAATTTTGAAATTGTAAATCCTGATGGAGATGTAGATATTATGTTTCATCACAATGACAAAGATGGCCAGTATCATATGCTTACCATCAAGTCAGACCTTTTCAGTGCACAGGAATCTATTCGGTACACTTTTAAGCATGGGCGCTGTACCATCCCTTCAATTCCTATTCCAATAAGTGATGGGTCTTTTTGCTTTGAAGCTGCTCATTCGCAATATACAGGACTGTCTCTGATTGTTAAGGTAGCATCATCTTCTGAATTTACCAAATTTAGCACAGCTCTGAATCATAATTGATATGAACTCTGTGCAGGTTCCTGTCATCAAAATGCCAATAGTAGAATATGTTGGTCAACCTCCATCTCCAGATAAGAGTATCATGCACCTGGAAGAATTACCATCTTTTTATCACGAAAATAACTGGATGATTTCCTTTGCAAATAATGACGACAAGGTATCATACATGAGTTATATTTCATTTTTATTTCTTTGTTAAGTTATACATGGTTTGGATATGATCACGGGATATTTATATTTCAATCCTGCTTGAAAAATCATGATATGATAACAATAAATTTGTTCAAGGATATTCCTAAATCTTAAAACAGTTAAACCGTCAGGTGATAGAGTTGGTTTTATGCCCCTCTAAAATGTCTTCTCTTACAAGAGCTTGTGATGGATGAAATGAAAGTCAATTAATGGCTTTTATTCTTGTGAAGTGGAAATACCTTTTGTCACTTGAGTTTGACTTGATGTGCCTCTATGCAGGAATTTGATAGCATCTGCAGACTTGGTGAGAAAATTAAAAATGTAGAAAGTCATCTTAATGAACTTAATGAGCAAAAGTCTGAAACCGAGCAAGAGATAGTGAAGTTGTTAGGTTCTTACTCTGCTTCTCTCTCTCTACCTACCTATCTTATAAACATGCACACATCATCTCAGTTAATTGAATTTTTAAAAATGTGTACTACATTATTAAATTAGCTTGTAGCAAGAAACAATGTATTTAGCTGCAATGCAACTAAGTTGTATGATTTTTTAACTTCTATGAGATTTATATAGGACAGAAAGTGCTTAGGGTAATGCTTATTGAATAAAATTTTTGTACTTGTCTTTTTGTTTGGTGTGTTACATCTGTTGGTGGTGCGTGCATTTATGAATGCTAGATTTTTGTCTTTTCCTGTCTTGTGAATTATATTTATTGATGCAAGCATGCATTTATGTATGCTACCTTTTTATGTCTTGTGAGTTATATCCGTTTATGCAAGTGCATTTACGAGGGTTGTTTTTATGCCTTTTTATCTTAAAATTTGTTTCTGCTGTTGCAAGTTTGCATTTGTGAATGGTCGTTTTCTTTGATAAAAGCAAACAACAACAACCAAGCATTTTCTTTGATAAGCACATTAAACTAAAATTTATCAGAATAAAAACAAAATGACGTTGTTGGTGTTTTTGTGTTGAATGTCTTGATTATGCAGAGAAGATTCAGCCTTATCAGTTAGATTTAGTCAACATGGACTCTTCATTTACCAAAGATGAATTGATGACAAAAGTTTTAAGCATGGAAAACTCGGCAATTTCTGTCTTGTGTAATCTTTCCAGGCACAAAAATCAACAAAATTATTTCTTGGAAGATATAATTGGTGTCGTTGCCCTCATTGGTACTGTTCAGAGTCCTGAGCTTAGCAGGTTGTTTATTGCTCCTCTCCCTCCATTTCTACCAAGTTCTGCCATTTGTGCATTGTTGAATGTTGATAAGGAATAAAATTTTAAAATTGGTTTCACTTCTGATTGTGTTAATGTTAAGTTATCTTCAGGATCTTTGCCGAGTATCTTGGTGAAGATAAAATGTCGGGTGTTATTTATAGATCCTTTGATGCTGCAAGTTCCCTTGAGAGGTATAAACAAAATGGTGAAATTGATTGTGAGCGTGCTTTACATGCTGAAGCTGCTGCTCTTGGAAAAGATATTAGCAAGCGTTTCCTTGTTATATGTATTGAAGATATAAGGTAATTCACTGCTTCATCATATGATTACTTTTATAGATTTTTATAAATAAAAGCTCAAGGGCCAAGACCTTGTGATTAGTTGTTTTTATTTATTTAGTTTTGAGAAAAACTGGTTCACGTGTGCATGGGTTTGACAGGCCTTATACTGGGCGTTTGCAAGAGAATGATTTTCAGAGAAAGCTAGCATTGCCAAATCCTACCCTGCCAAACGGGAGAACCCCAGACGGGTTTGTTGGTTACGCAGTTAACATGGTTGACCTGGAAATAAATTACTTGCAGACGAAGACAACTTCGGGCCACGGGCTTCGGGAGACGGTGCTGTTTAGCCTTTTCAAGAAGCTCCATGTTTACAAAACAAGAGAGAATATGGTGGCTGCTCGTGCCTGTATAGAGGATGGTGCCGTTTCGTTAGATGGTGGTATATTAAGAGAGAGTGGAATTCTCTCTCTCGGATATGGGTATCTCTCTCTTTCTCTCTCTCTCTGCGCGTCTGTGATGAATATTCTCTGGTGCATGCATCTGCTTTCTTTTTAATATTATTGTTGCATGGAGCTCTTCAGAACATGATCCATAAATTATATAGAAATTTGCTGGCTTCATAGCATAAATTATAAAGAAACTTTATCTGTACAACCTTTTTAATAATTCAGAGAAAGATATAAAGTCAAAAGAGAGAGCCTTGGGATAAAATAGCTAATGTAATACACAGAAATTAAGCCAAAAAATAAAAGGTAAACTTTATGATACCTCTATATTTTAACGAGTATTCGTGCTTGCTTTATAAGAATTAATGAATATTAAATAAATGTATCCGTAGAAACTATCTTGTAACTTATGAGTGACACATAAATAATAATATAATTTATTATTTGAGATTTCTTGAAGTTTTAATTGCCTATAAACTCAAAAAAGAAAAAGTGAAAAAGTTATATTTCAAAAATTTATTTAAGATTACATTTTACTTTAATATCAAACATTAATGATTATGTTTATTTATATAATAACAATGAATTTATAGTTAAATAATTAAAAAGATAATTTAAGAATGATAAAAATATATGTATTCATTATAAATAATTAAAAAAACATCATAACATTTCTTAGATAAGTAATATACTTTTCTTTTGTAATACAATATTATACATTTTATTATTTTTAATTTTATTTTATTAATTTTGATAAAAATTATGGTGTATATCTAATTTAATTTTTGAATATCTAATTAATAATGCATTTTAATTTTATGTTTAAATTTATATAAATATACACAAGATATATGTTGAATAAAATGTTATATATGAGATAATAATTTTCTTAAATTTAAATAATTTAATATTAACTTTTCTGGAAAAATTATTTTTTAACAGAATAACTTAGAAATAATAAAATTTGAGTGTTATACACTTTATATTAAAATATAATCATTTCAAAATAATTAATAATTATCATCTTTTTAATAATTATGTTATAATTATTAACACTCATACTTTATTATATTGTTTTCTTAATTCTTAATATAAATGTTTTATCTTTTCTTTAGTTACATTTTATAATAGATCAATAACATCTTTTCTATTAAATTTTAAAAAATAATAACTTAACATATTTTTATTTTAATTTATTGTATAATGCAATAAGTTCTATTTAATATTAATTTAAAAAAAAATTGAAATAAATGTCATAAGGTCCTTTTATAACTCATTAATAACAACTAGGCCTTATTTCCATTGAGCTCGGTCAAAAAACTAAATTTCTAGTTAATTAGAAGGCTTTTTTTAATAATCTTTTGGGTCTTTATTGATTCTTTTTTACTGGACTACAAGTTATGCAATCTACTCTCCTCTCACTGATGCCAACAAAGGTCTTTTTTGCACATGATTGAACTACCATAGACAATTTTCAGTCATCTTTTCCATTATAAGTGTCATTCTAATATTTTCATATATTATCATTTTGTATTACATCTTAATATTCTTATTTTCTTGTGTTCACTCATCCATCATATTATTCTTATTTTTGTCATTTCCATTTTCTTCTCGTGTTATATTTTTAAGACTCAACATTCACTATCATATAAGATAGCTGATTGTATTGCAAAACGATAAAACTTTTCTTTCAGCTAGAAAGGTACTTTACAGTTATAAATAATTATTGATACATTTTTCTACTTCAATCACCTAACTTGTATTGCATGAGTAACATAGTCTTGATACATTATTTTTCCACTTTAACCACCTCAATTGTATTTGTGTGAGTAACATCGTCATTAATTTCTCTATCATTCTGTATAATTGATCCTAAGTACCTGAAACTGAAAATTTGTGCTATAATATAATCTTCAATTATGCATATATCTTGTCTTATTCTACTCAAGCAGAAACTAGAATCTAAAGTCTTCTTCCATAACTCAAGTTTAGTATTATCCTCTTCTTTCGAATTCTCAACCAACATTATATCATTTGCAAATAGTATACATTGAGTGATAATTATTTGTGTGTAATGTGTAAGTACATTTAAGACTAGATTATAACAATAAGAACACTATTACTATTAATATTAGTTCATTTATGATATGATTTTAACATGCATCTATGGTTAACTTTTATTGGTTGCGTTGAAAGGGTATTGTTACTTTCTCAAGTGCAATATTGAGCAAATTATCATTTTAGTCTCAACTATTTTAAGAATTCTTCACAATTGTACCTAAACTAAATAAAACATCATTTTAGTCTCAAATATTTTTAAGATTCATTAAAATAATCTTTAAACTATGTAAATGTCATTTTAATTACTAACATATACAATCATCATTTTAATTTTCCTAATAGAGAAGTTGGCTTGCATGTTAAGTGTCAACTGAACATGATATGAGATATTTAATAATGACGTAAAGAATCTTTTATTACTTAATTTAGTCTCCATAAAATTTTAGGCCTAGAGATTATCTAGGAAACAAATTGGCAAATTTTGAGGAAAATAAACTGAGTCATGTTACTCAACCATGTTATCATTAAATGTCATATATTATGTTTAACTATTACTTAATATGTCAAGTCAACTTATATGTTAAAACAACTAAAGTCTTAGACAACATAGACTAAAATGTTAATGATTGTATACCATGGGAACTAAAATAATTGACGATTGCATATGTTGAGAACTAAAATGACATTTTGCTTAATTTTGGAAGTATTTTAATGAACTTTAGAAATAATAAAGATTAAAATGATTCACGATTGTAAATGATATATTTAAGATATGATAGATCCATTAAGAAAACATCTCGCAAATGTCTCCTTATGAATGTTATAGTTCATCGTTTCTTTCAATATTTTGTTTGTATTATGATTTTGTATGTAAGTAGTAATATATTACTTATTTAACTCTGATTTGCAGGAATCCTTTTATATATTTTCCTTGTGAGAACCAGATGGTACACCCTCGAGAAACTGAAGAAATCTTGACACGGATTAAAGATAAGAAGTCAGATCTGAGGATCATTGAACAAAGAATCAAAGAACTGACTAGTTGTCGTGAGAAGTGTATAAAGAAATTTAAGATAAAAGAGGAGAGGTATAATAAATTTATGGATAGAATGGAGCCTATGACAGAACTATTGAAATATATAGAGGCAGGTGATGAGAAAAACAGAATCAAAGAACTCTCTGATTGAACTATTGAAATATTTGGCTTCTGTGAAACAAATTTTAATACCAAACAAAACAGATGGAGAATATTGTTTTGGAATTCAATTTAGGTTCTACTTTAACAGTGTTATAAGGTTTATCATGTGCAAATTTTCCAAGTCTAGAAGTAACTACGAATTGCTGCTTAGTCTTATAGTTTAAAGCTACACCTCGTAATCTATAATGACATTGGATAAAAGTGTTCTCAACTGACATAAGACTTTTTAAATCTTGGTTGCATTTGTTGTAAATGTAGATAGAATGTTACTTGATGCAGTTGCAATGGCCGCTGCTAAAAGGTGCATTTTTTGTTCAATTTTTTCTTATTCTTTCAACTCATTTATTTCAATTCAAGTTGGGTAATGTTAAAAAATTGGATCCACGTTTACTAGTGGACTCTATTTTTTTACGTGATTACAATTTTGGTTATCGAATTCCCATAAAAACTTTATCAAAATTTCAATAAATGTATAATTTATCTTGGAATTGACTCTTGCCAAGGAAAAACTCGAGAATTTTGTGAAATGTGCTTTGATGGTGGATATACTTGTGTTAATGTAACTCATGTAACAAGTGTCATAAAACAAAAGTTACATACCGGTTAGATTATGGCTAAGGGTAATCATACACTATCAATATATAGAAGCAAAAAACTTACATAATAAAGGAATTTTAGTTTTATTAAATATTTTAAATTACTATGCCAAAAAATATATTTTAAAATTCATATTTAAGCTTATAATAATCATTTCAAATATTATGTGATAAGAAAACTACTATAATACATTGGTACGTATTAATTTTGGTTTATGAAGAGGAATTTGGTTTAATTCTAACAACCAATTGTTTGAGTGCAATTTTAACCCCTTTAGTTTTTTGTAATCAATTAAGTATGTATCCATTTAGTTTAGCCTTGGAGTAGAGTTAGATAGAATTGGTTTTAAGAAAGGTAAAAAATATTGCATTGAAATGTATTTTTCTTTTTCATTAAAAAATTGCAAGATATATTTAATTAAAATGAAATAAATGAGACCTAAATTTTTATATTTTTAAAATTAAGCAATTTAATTCTCTCATCGATTATATTCTACCTAAAATCCTTAATTAATCATTATCTACAAAAAAAAAAAATACTAATATATCAAATTGATTTTTTTTTCCTAAAAATTTACTAACCAAAATATCAACTTTCACATTAAAAGAAATCTTAAAATTTTTCCTCATTTTCTAACATAACATCGTATAAAATCCTTCAAATTTATCAAATTTTCACTAAATTTCTGACATCCAAACATTTACAATTATTTCATGTCCCAAATCCATCGTAAGCTCCTTAATATTTGGATAGAAAATAAAAAGAGGATTTTAGTTAAAACAAAATTGGTGAGGAATGAATTTATTTAATAATTAAGATAATTCAATTAGATTTAAAAATAATAAAAACCAAAAGAGCAATTATATCAATTTTTTTTCAAATATTTTCATGAGTCTAATTAGAAAAATATTTATTTTAACAAATAAACTAAATCGTATAGACATTTATTGAAAATTTACTGTATTGAATTCTAGGTATTAATTTATTGAATTTATACTAAAATTAACATGAAATAAAAACAAAATATCTTACGCTTTTCTTGATTGTTTGTGTGATTGTACTTCTTACTTTTTTGTTTTCTACATGCAATATTTATTAGCTATTATATTGCAAGAATATTAATAGGTAATATTTGAATAAAACAATAAATATTAAAAAAAAACTTGGGTATAGAAAATCTAAAAACATGAATTTTCTAAATAAATAAGAATGTTTTATTTTTCATTTTTATCGAAAAATAAAAACTTTCATAATATTTTATTGTAAACTTAATAAATTTTCCTATAAAAAATAACTAAAAATGTGCTCTTCAAAAAAATAAATATTCTAAATTTCATCGCTGGTCTATACTTAAACCTACATGTGATTTGATATTTCTAGAGTTTATTTGTCGTATTTAGTTTTTCTGATTTAAAAAATTTTCAAATTAAATCTCTCAACCCAAAATTGTATATAATTTTTAATTAATAAAAAATAATAGAAGTGTAACATATTATTGATTTAGATGAATTAATGAAAAAATGCATAAAATATTAAAGTAAAAAAATACTAATTAAAATATGTGAAATATAATCAAAGTATTTTTTGTTTAATTTAATTATTTTATATATATATATATATATATATATATATATATATATTGCAAATTTATATAAATCAATGATATACTACACAGTTGTTTTTTCTTTTAATTATTAGATAAAAGTTTAAGATGAGAGATATAATTTGAACAATTAAAAAACTATAGCTATGGAAAAAAATTACACATAAGAAAAAAAATTACGGAGACTAAAATTGCAATTAAACCTTATTCACTAATTATCATACTTTATATTTTTTGAGTAAATACTTATTTTATTTTCTCAAATTGTAAGTATGATCACTTTAGAGTATTACCTTACAAAAAAAATTTATTTTGTATAGTAATTAATTAAAAAATCTGAAATAAAGTCAATAATTAAAACAAATTTTTTAGTAGAAAATTTTTATTCTATACAATTCCTTTAACTTTTGAAAACGTCTCTCTCAATGAGTCCGAATTCTAAATGTTGTTAGTATAACATAATAACATTGAGTCCGTGTATTTATATTTTTACAATTATTTTTCTCTGCGATATTTTTTGTCATCTTGAATAATTATAGCAATACTCTCTAACACACTTTTTGTAATATACTTATTAACTAAAATTTATTAAAAATTATAAGTCTCACTTTTTCCACTCTGAAATTAATGTTTCTCTTGTATTTTTTTTAGTTTTCAATACTTAGCCATTCACACTGTAAACAAAAATAAAAATTAAATACCATTATTATAGATGTGGTAAGAAAATAAAGATTCTTCTACGTGAACTGAGATATTTATTAAAAATCACTTAAGATGTATTACATTTTTGTTTATTATTATTTTTAAAAGCATCCCGAGAAGTATATTATTACCCTCAATAAAAAAAATTGTTTCTTATCCAATATCCGATACATACTCATTACTATTCAAAAAAATAAAAATAAAAAAAAATCAAGGAACTAAATGAATTTATTTGTAACCAAGATGACTTGAATCTAGTCAAATTAACATTATAGAAAGGAATGATTATATATATTTTTAATTAAAAAGAGGAAAGAATATTAAAGTTTAAAACTATATTTTATTACAAAATAGTTCGTTATAAATATCACTTAATGCTAAATCCCTTCCACAGATAGTAAAAGGAAGTTTTTGTTTAATAAAAAAAAAAAATTACTAAAAGGGTTAAAAAATCATGATTTTGAAAACCAAACTAAAAGCTACTTTGAACGGTTAATAAAAACCAATCAAGTCACGATTCTGGGATATCCAGAAAATTGATAAAACAATTGTAAATCGACTCTCAGCCGAAACCATAAAGTGATTCAACCTGCTCATTTAAAACAATTGATTTTTTTTATTGTTTAAAATTATGCTAAAATACTTTTAAAATAAATAAAAACTCGTAAATGATCTGTATAATAATAATAATAATAATAATAATAATAATAATAATAAATTGCTATTATTTAGGTGTTTATTATAAATATTATATTCTATAAAAAACATAATATAAAAGTTTTATATTAATTTAAAAATTATAATTTTACATTAATTTATTATATAATATTTCAAAATTAAACATCTTTGATCCAACTCCAATTCAATTACAACTGAACCATTAAATCTTGAAATTGTTCGAATAAACTCTATTTAGTTTTTGAAATTATTAACGTTGCACACTTTAGTTGATAATCCGTATCATTTATCTGTCACTTTAGTCCTTTTGACCATCTACATTAAAAAGACAAAATAACTAGACTAAGATGTTGCGTTAAATGATATATAAGCAACGCATGGAGTGCGTAAGATTCAACTGAAGTGATGTGAGCATGCATTATTACCCAAAAGTGATTTCTAATAATGATAATTTCCAACATGAGTATTAAAAATGAAAAAGAAAAGAGTAGATAAAAGATTTTAACAATCTTAAAAACCAAAATGAAAAATAAGCATCTATCACATCATAAACGACACCAATTTTATCACACAATCATGTATGTCATTTATATTTTAACATTTCATTATTATTTATTAAGGCTAAATGGTCAAAAAGGACTAAATTGATTAATGAAGATAAATGTTAGAAATTATTGAAGGGAACTAAAATGTTCAACCCAAACAAATTCAGAAACTAAATTGGAAATTACTTGGAAGTGTTCTGTTTCCAGCAAAAGGTACCTAAGCGAAGTGCATTGCATTTGTTTTTGCAGAAGATCAAACATAGGCAATCACCAAGCCCACACCTGATTCTTCTTTCATTCATGCATATTATAACAGAATTTTCTCTCCCCTTCAGCTAGAAGTTCAATCTAACCGCTTAGAGAATTAAGACCCAAACAATGTCGGAAACATGAACTCGGCGAAGATAGACATGACAACAGAAAAAAAATGTTTATATTTCACCCACAAAATCAACTATCAACTATAATGAACAAAGTTCATGGTGTACACAACTCCGTAAAGATAGACATGGAGATGGAAAAAAAGCAAACAGTGGTACCACCATTACAAAGACCAACATGGCAATGGTACCACCCTGTATGTAAGGTAAAACCAAAGAAATAACACGCCAAAATCACAGCACCATTTTATGATATTTTTGCTCTTGAGAAGTCCATCTCTGGATGCTGCAAAACGTAACAGTTAAATGTTAGATCTTCCGGATCAATAAAGGAGCATATGATGAGAAGAGCTCACCTCACTCATAAATTTCTTCAAGATATCCTGCTTCTGGAGCTCATCACTAGAAGGGAGGCCCATAGACTTCTGCTTCTGGTCAAACTGTACAATACAAGAGAATACAAATCGTTTTAGGCTTTTCATATAGGGCTTAATTGACAATGTGACTATCAACTTGAATGCATTATACCAAATAACTAACATTACATCATTCTAACAGTGTTAACCCCAATAAATGGATGGAAAAAACTTCATTTCAAAGTATCTCAATTGTTAAATATGAATATGATGACGGACCAAAAACAATTGCAAATTAAATAATTGAAGTAATTATAATCAACCAATTACCATCATTTTTTCAACAGTCTGACGAGTCTCGGGATCCAGGTCAGAAAGTTTGCTGTTCTCAGGTTCAACCTTTTGGGTATCAATTTCAGGATCACCCTTCACCACACATTTCCACCACTCCATTTGATCATGCTTGGTCAAAAGAATAGAAACTGTATTCTGATCCTCTGCAAAAACAGGTTTGTAAATAAGAGTGACACATTAAGAGGTCATTAATTCTCACTCCATTAATGAACAGGACAGTGAACACCCTCTATTCCTAAATCAAACACACCGCTGAATCACCAATATCAGTTCATGCATCCACACGATACAATGACAGTGCACAAAATGATGCCATTTAGTTCTCTACCTATGCTCCAGTAACAGTCATCAGGCTTGACGGGTCGATAAACCTCCCCCTAAGGATTTTCAAAATTACAAGTCAGCAGAGTAAATGACTGAACAAATCACCGATCTTAATGTAGGAAGGATATATCTTCTAACAATAAAGAATATATTTAATACAAACTTACATCAATAATTGGTGGCTGGCCTTTTAGTCCAACTTTCAGATGGTTCTTCTTTATCTCACAAATAACAAATCTTGATTTTGTTCCAGTAGGCACAGGAACACTCACATTGACTTCCTGTAGAGTCTGAGTCCAAGAATATTTTTCCAGATCAAGGCCATTTCCTTTGTTCGGCACTGTTCAGTCATTGAAAGGGGAACAAAACGAAAAGCACAAGAAATTTTTTTCATTAAAATAAAATATTCTAATGCAAAGTTGATGAAGAAACTAATGATCAAATCAGGTAAACACGAGATAAATTCTTCTTCCCTTGTCGTTACCAATAAAACTCACTAGTATGAAGAACGCCGGTATCTATGATTTTCCAGTCAAATAAAAAAACTAATACAGAATAACACTCTACGCTCCCAAGGCAGACACTAAAACAATGAAGGGGAGGATATGAGCGATAAAAATCCGTCCTTTCACACATCTTGAAATATCCAAGACAGAGGTAGCAGAATTCTATGTAACATGTACACCATTAATCTACGATCAGAAATACATCATATGACTAAAATTGCATTGGGTGCCCACAAATAACAACAGCAGCGGCAGCAGCAACAACAATAATAAAACAATTTTAGGGCATAAAACAAATGCACGTTGAAAACGCTTAATTCTCTTACCGATTGTAGTACTTTCTTGGCCCTTCTTCTTTTCTTCTTTTGCTCCAACTTCCTTTTCTTTCTTAGTTGTCGTAGTCGCAGCCGCCGCTTTCTCTTCCTTCAACTTTTTCTCCGCCGTCGCTTTCTCTTCGGCGGCGATCTTTTCCTTCTTGGCCTTGGCAGCGCGCGCCGCCGACACGATCTCGTTCTCAGCGGCGTCCTTTTCGAGAAAGTCGCTTTCTTTTGCGACGAATTGGAAGACTTGGTCGAGAAAAGCTATTGGATTGGAGGGATCAAAGCTGGCGCTGAACGAAGAGGGTTGCGATTGAGCGGAGGAAGAGGAGGGAGAAACATCTTCTTCTTGGTAATCAGAGATGATGGCCATGGCTGAGAGAGTGTGGACTGGGGAGAGTGAGAACAGATAGATGTATTGGGTAAGTTCTTACCTCTTAGAAAGAGTAGAGTAATCGCTGGAAAATACCAGAACCCACCAGAGGCCCGGCCCGGCCCAAATTATTTAGTTATTAGCATTTATTTTATTTTTCTTTTTTTTTAAAGTGAAAGTTAATTATAATTTTTAAAATTTATTTTATATATTTTTAAAATTTTATTTTTATTATTTTTAATTAAAATAAAATATTACTATGTATATTTTTTCTTTTTATAAAATACATGTTTTTTTTCAAAAAAAATTTATTATTTAATCTTTTTCTAGAGGATCTTAAGCTTTTAAATTTTATTTTTACTAACGAAAGATTTATATTTTTTTAATTTTTTGAAATTTTATTTATTTCATTTTTAACTAAATTTATAGTGTCTTACGTTTTATGATTTTGAAAAAGTTGAAGGTCTTTACTTATTTTAATTTTATAATCTCAAATCCACCATTTTTCTCTTTTATTCTTATAAAACTTTAAAGATCATATATTTTTTAAAGATATTTTTCTCTCTAGCTCAATATTCTTAATTAAAATTTCTTTTCTTTTCTTCTCATGTTAACTAATTAAAGACCTATTTGAAAACTCTTAATGTAGTGCATTCTCGTCTTTTAATTAAAAAAATTTATTAGAATATATTTTTGTCAAATATAATATTTCTTTTTTTTTAGTGTGTATATTTGAACATATTGTAATATTATTTATTGATGTTATTTTTATAATGTTGTGATTTTTTTTAATATTATTCTATGGGTGTGACTTTGTGTCTTAAAGTTTTTATTTCAATTTTTTCGTCATTCTCGTGATGATGTATTTTTGTGATTAAATACTTTTTTGTATGTTAAACGTGAAAATCTTGTTATTTTATGATGTTTATTGAGCTTTGAGGGGAGTGCATAGTTTAAATTGAAATATTTGCACTCTAGGCTCTGTCATGAAGTGTGTGTGTATAAATATATATAAAACTTTTTTTTTACTCTATATATTTCAAAGATTTATAAACAAGGCAATTTTATGATTATATCATGATGAGAGAATTTGTCTAGATAGTTTGATGTTTAAGGCTAAACTATCATATATTTGAATTTTTGTGTTAGTATATGAAAGTATTAAATAAATAAGGTGAAAAATATTATACATAATTGATTGCATTTTTTTTTCTAAAAGACATAAAAAATTACTATGACTTTTATATAAAATGTTTTTTTAATGATAATATTACACTAATAACTCACTTATTTCCATTTAACATACCTATATTTCAAAGGTCCTACCACTTTTTGATTGTCGAGATTTAACAATTTGCAATACCTATTTAGATGTGTGATAGCTACTACTCTTTATTATTAAATGAAAACAAATTTAAGGGATTGACCCTGGGTTACAAGTAGAGAGCCAAAAGGAAAAAAAAAATAAAACAGTGAAACAAATATTCAAGAATTGATGTTTACTCTGTGGCAATAGTCATGCCCAGATTACCCAAATGATGCCCTATCCTCCCTCTCTCATTCCCTTCCCTTCCCTCAAATATGCCTTCCCTTGACCTTATTCTGGTATCTTTCTCTTCTCTTTCCTCTTGTCATGTATGCAGTTTGTTATGCAATTTGTTATGATCTTGCATAATTGTTTCCTCCCCAATACTTCCTATCTTACCCTTCCTCCACTGATAAGTCTTCAATGGAGGTCCTTTTTATCGAGGCCCATCAATGTGCCTCTCGGTTAATGAAGGGTTCATCCCACTTTGACACTCACTTGGTTACATACTGATTTCTCATCACTGCATCATTTGCTTTGAGCACTAATTCTCCCGCTACAAACATTTGTGATATCATCAGCGTATCATATGTTATTCCTACCCTTCATTGATGTTTCTTTATTTCATTTTGGGTTTGTTCTCTTTTCTTGTTTTCTCTAATTTAACTTTTGTGACTTTATTTGATACTTGCTTTAAGGAAATTCTTGCTAAAGGCATCATGACTTTTGTTGGCAAAACTGCTTCAGCACCATACACTAGCAAAAAAGGTGTTGCCTTTGTTGTCCCATGCTTGATAGTCCTATAGGCCACAAGCTGAGGGACAAGTATTAGCTCTAGTCTTTGGGCTCATGGCCTATAATTTTTACCAGTATCTTGATCAAGGTCATATTAGTTGAGTCTGCTTGACCATTGGATTGGGGATAATAGGGAGTAAATTTGTTGTGCTTGATTTTGTAGGATTCTAACACTAACATTTTTATTTACAAAATGAATGTCATTATCTAATATTATGCATTCTGGTAATCAAAGTAACAAATGACGTTGTCTTGGATGAAAGCTATCATAGTTTCAAAGTTTGCTTCTTTAAGCGCAATTGTCTTTACCTTGATAAGAATTCGTTTCGTTGTAGCTAGGATCCATTTCTTTCTCTTGGAAGGTGAATTTGTTGGTCCCACAAAATTCAATGCCAAATATGTAAAAAAGTAATGGGGAACTAAAGCTATACAATTTAGTTATAGGAGCATGGATGATATTTCTATGTTATTAACACTCTAGGCATTTCTTGACAAATTTTATTGTGTCTACTTTCATTGTTGGCAAAAAAATATCTTATCCTAAGCAATTTAGACCATAATGTCTTCCTTCCTTGGTGTTTTCCACCTACTCTTCTATGTATCTCACCCATCACCTTATCTTTTTCACTATTTCTAATACAAATATTTTATCCTATAAATGACCTCTTGAATAGTTCTCTTGTGCAAAAAGTACCTTTTTGCTCTTTTGATCATTTTTTGAGCTTCCATTTTCTCTAATGGTAATACTCTTGCATCTAAATACTCCTATATGGGGCACTTTAAATCTTCTTTAATCATATTTAGCTTCCATGTACACCCTTTTTTCGTAGAAATAGTTGCAACTTTTTTGAAAAGTATCAAAATGCTTCTTTACAGATAGCTAGAATATTCCCTATCTTTGAATTCTCCTATACAAACTTGACCTTACTTGGCCACACATCTCATCAGTAAGTTATCACTAGTTTGGTGGGATCAATTTCTAAAAGGAGAAAAGGAGGTATGGAGATCCAATTTGGGAGAGTTGGGAGGAGTTAAAGAGAGTCCTTAGGGAGAAGTATGTGCCTCAATACTACCATAGAAAACTTCATGCTAAATAATAGAGAATAACCCAAGGAAGTAAGAGTGTGGATGAATTTTATAAGGACTTAGAGATTTCCATGATTTGAGCCAATATTGGGGAGGAAAGAGAGGTTACCATGGCTAGATTCCTTAATAGACTTAATGGAGACATAAAGGATATTGTTAACCTTCAAAACTATGTAGGGATGAAAAACCTAGTTCACCATTCAATTAAATTGTGGAACAACTAAAAAGAAAAAGTGTGAGAAAGAGTTTCTCTAATTTTGATAATTTTAGGTGGAAGGAGAGGTTTAAGAAGGAAGGACCTTCATCTGCTAGGGTACTTATGGCAACACCACAACCTACCCAAAACAAAGGCAAAGAAGTGGGTAAAAAGTCTCGATCTAGAGTTATAAAGTGTTTTAAGTGTTTGGGTAGAGGATACATAGCTTTCAATTCTCCAACTAAAAAGGTTATGGTGTTAAAGGATAATGGAGCGATTATTAGTGAGAGTTCTCAATCAGAATCATCTAGTGGAGAAGAAAGTGAAGAAGCAGAGGAGATTCCTGAAGGAGACTTATTCATTGTGAGAAGGATATTAGGAAGGATAGCCAAGGAAGATGAAGAAAGCCAAAGAGAAAACATATTCCATAATAGGTGCCTTATCCAAGAGAAGTTGTGCTTATTGATCATAGATGGGGGAGTTGTACTAATGTGGCTAGCACTAGGTTGGTCACAAAAATGAATTTGGATACTAAACTCCATCCTAGGCCAGACAAGTTGCAATGGTTAAATGCAGAAGGAGAATTGAAGGTGGATAAGCAAGTGAAGATTAAATTTTCTGTTGAAAAGTATAAAGACTGAGTTCTATGTGATGTTGTTCCAATGGAAACTAGTTATTTGCTTCTTGGAAGACCATGACAGTTTGATAAAAAAGCTCACCATGATGGTTACTGATGTAACATATTTTAGGTTTACATTTATAGTTTTATTTTGATTTATAAACACTTTTATTATGCTTTGTTTTTAGAGTTTTTACCATTTTCTAGTTATTTGGATAAATTGGGTTTGTTACAAATAAATGATTTAATTTTGTATTTTCAGTTATTTTGACCTCTAACTACTCTTTCGACCATAATTTTTTCTACAAATATCTTTTTTACCTGATACCAGCTGTATCGGATTCTACACATCCAATGCTTCAAAATGCATATATAGATTGCTAGATTTGGAGTTGTTTTTGATTTTTTATAATTTTTGAAGTTGAGGCAGAATTGCTGAATATTATTGCGAGATTGCATTTGGGTCCTTTGTTATTAGATAATTGTATTTGGACTTATAGTTATAATTAAAACCCGAATTTTGGCCATTTAATTACCCTAATCAGAACCTATAAATAAACTTATAAGGTTCTAAATTAGGAGATGATTAGACACTTTGAGTTTTTGAGATTTAATCGAAATAAGAATATTTATTTTTACTTTCTCTCGAAGTCTCTCATTTTTGCATGGGTTAAGTGCTTCAATAGAAGGCTAAACCTCTCGTTTAATCCGCAGAATTCAAACGTTGTAAATCTGATTTGAGTTATGAGCCAAATTGTTCCGAATTTATTCTCTTTTCTCTAATATCATATTTGTGTATTATGATCATGATTAACTTCTCTGTGGTTATAATTCAAATTAGGATTTAATTAATATTCTAATTTGATAATTAATTTGGGTTAGGTTAAATAACAATTTGATTTAATCCGTGATCTAGTTGAATTATGTTATTCGATTAAATTAATAGTTGAATTGGATAATTGTTCAAACTCGAATTAAAATATTTAGATACTATGATAATTAGAGTTGCATGCATTTGATATTCTATGGATTGATATTTCTTAATTCATTTTTACTCAATTTTAATTTGTTCATAATTTAATTTAATAAATTTTACAGTTTTTAAACCCCTAAAATTTACTCGTATTTTTAAAGAACTTAAAATTGAATTTAGCTGAAAATATGTCTCTGTGAATCGACCTAAGTTGAGCTTTATACTGCAAAATTCTTAAAGTAAACTTAGTTGTTTTGATAGTGACTCGATATCGCCTATCAGTCACACAAATAAATACACTTCTCACCATAATAACTGTAAGGTTACTCTTGTTCCACTATCTCCAAAAGATGTGTGTGATGATCAAAATATTATGAAAGAAAAAGGAGAACAAGAGAGAAAAGAAAAGAAAGAAATTGAAAAAGAGAGCAAAAATATAGAAAGAAGTCAAGAGCTTAAAATTAAAGAGAAAGAAAGGAAAAAATCTTTGTTTGTAAAAAGTGGCAAGGTGAGGAGAGCAAAATGGCAAGGAAGTTTATGTATATACTTTACAATAAAAAGATTGCTACACTTGATTCTAACCTTGAACTTCCTAGTGAAGTTAAAGCTATTTTGCAAGACTTTCAAGATGTTTTTCCAAAAGAAATACCATCAGATTACCACCTTTGAGAGGCATTTAGCACCAAATTGATTTAGTTTTAGGAGCTATGTTGCCTAGCATTTCTCAATTGAAGGGTAAATTTGGACAAGAAAAGGCTGAGTATGTTAAGAAGCTGCATGAAAAGATTAAGGCCCAAATAGAGAAGAAAATGGAAAGGTATGCCAAACATGCCATCAAAGGAAGGAGAAAGGTAACATTTGAATCAGGCGATTGGGTATAGGTATATTTCAGAAAGGAAAGATTTCTGTCTTAAAGAAAGTCTAACTTAAAGCCAAGGAGAAATAGACCTTTTCAAGTGTTGGTTAAGATTAATGACAATGCAGTAAGTACAACTTTCAATGTAACTGATTTGTCTTTATATGATACAAGTGATTAATTAAAAGATTTTAAGACAAATACTTCTAAAAAAGGAGGGAATGATGTGAACATAAAGAGTAAAGCCCAAGTCCAAGCTCATGCACTACAAGAAGCTCAAGATCCATTACAAAACTCAGGAGGACTCATGACAAGAGCTAGATCAATGAAGGTCCAAGAAGTCATGAAACACATGTTGAACTCTTAGTTAGAAGATCAACTCCAATGTGAGAGTCAACACCTAGATGAAACCCAGCACTTGAATTCTAAAGTGTATACATGCATAGTCCATTTGGAATGAGGGGGGGGGGGTAGAAATCTACACAGGTAAATATATATCCACATATTTGCTCATACATTTCTCTGTAAGCAAACTGGATGAGAGAACAAAGATCTATATGAATAAGTACATGTCCACGTATCTACAATCATTACAAAACTATAAGCTAATTTTTTCAAATAAAATTATAAATAATAATAATAAATATTTAGAAATTACTCAACTATATTAGTGATCAAATGACCAAATTTGTAACAAATATTTTAATATGATTAAGAATTGAATTTGTCACTAATTTGAATGACAAATTTATCTACCGAATTTCTCACAGTTAACAACAAATTGGTGATTAGTAAGTTGGTTGCATTTTAATTATTGAATTTGCAATAACTTGAGTAATTACAATTTAACGACTGAATTAGTAGTCACAAATTAATGACCAATTTTGTGACTAAATGTTTGGATGCTAATATGTTGTTCTGTTATCAAAAAAGTTATTCAATCATCAAAAAAATTTAGTCAATAATTTTAAAATTAAGTAATTAATTGAATTTCGATGACTAAAATACTTTGCAACAAACTTCATAACAACCACTTTATTTCGATAATTCGATTATCGTTCAATAGTTATGTATTTTATTGATTGAATTTTAACTTTTATTAGCTGATTTTGCTAGTCACACTACAATAGAAATGAGCTTTTGAAGCGCTAACTTAGACAACGGTTAGTATGAATCGCTTCATAATAATATATTTAGAGAGCGGTTAGCGTTGAACCGCTCTCTAAGGTATACTTCTAAGAGCGGTTAATATTGAACCGCTCTCTAATATATACTTTTGAGAATGATTAATAGAGAACCGCTTTCTAATGTATACTTCTGAGAGCAGTTCTTTGTTAACCGCTCTCTAAAGTCACACACTTCTGAGAGCGGTTGATAGATAACCATTCTCTAAAGTCTTTTTTTCTATCTTATCAAATCTCTTCATCTTGCTAATAAAGTTGCTTACTTTTACATCTGTAAGTTCTCTTCGTCTTCTTCATCTTTTATGCGCTAACAAAGTTGTTCTCTGTCTATTTCACTGTAGGTTCTCTTTATCTTTTTTGCGTTAAAAAAGTTAGTTTCTTTTACATATGTTGCTACCTTCTAATTGTTCTCTATGTTCTCTCTTTCTTTCTTTTTTCCTCTATTAACTGTAAACCATCCCGCTAATTTGTTCTCTTTTTTTTGCTTAATAGTATTGCAGATGTGAACTGTTTGGTTAATACAACGTACAAACTCAACAAGTTTCACTTTTAATTTGTGATAAAAATGAAGAAAGTTTGAGCATAACAATAAATTAATTTTAGTTTGAAATAGAAAACTCATGAAGAAAAAAATTTCAAATTCCAGATTCGCAGTATATTTTAAATGACATTCACTTTGTGAGAGCGGTTCTATGTAAAACTGCTCTCTAATATCAACATTTGAGAACAGTTATATTTAACCGCTCTCTTAAGTGCAACATATTAGATAGCGCGAGATTTTAGAGCAGTTCTACATGCTTTTTAAATTAAAATGAAACCGTTTTGACTCTCTATTTTGGTGTAGTGTCACTAACACAATTTTTTTTATCTGTACAAATTATAAGTTATAAATACCTTTATCCTATTAATTCAATTTAAAAATAATTTAATAAAATAATAATAATTGTAAAATTTCACAAGAACTTGTAATTAATAAGATAATTTGTTATTAGATCACATTGGCAATGTTCTTTTTCTGAACACCATCATGGATGAGTTTGAGTGATCGTTCTATGTCATCACCAAGAAGGTAAGGATCCGGAATGACAAGTGGGTCCACTGACAGAGAAATGGTCATCTTGTTCCCGTAACTTTGGTAATGGAGGGTCAGTGCCTGCCAAAGGAAAAAAAATAAAAATGATCTGCATATAATTTAGCGACAATTTAACCGATCTATGTTGATTGACGTTGAACGTTATTATTAGAGTTGGCCAAATTGAATCTACTAAAGTTAGCATTGACTTGCGGTCAATGCTATTTAACGTTAACAATTAAAATAAAAAATAAAATAAAATGATTTGTATTGACCTAGCATTGATTTTAGACGATGCTATTTTTGCATCGAGACAACAAGCGTTGGCGCTAACATGGACAGTAATGTCTTCAAAAGCATCATATTATTCCAATAGCGTCGGCGTGACACTAATGTATTAATTTGTTGTGGTATAATTAGTTTATAGCCTTCTTTCAATCAGAGTACCTTTCATAATTTTTTCCGTCAAATCGATAGTTATATAGCTAGTTAGATCATGCATGGTGGTAGCGAAAATTTTGAATGATTTAACACTTACGTGTGGGTGTCCGTATACACTAGGAGCAATGTATGCTAGGGGATGTCCATAGAAGCTAATTTCTTCAGTGGGACCAGGCACGTTAGAGAAGGCCATTGTAGTGTTAAAGAGAGCTCTTTGTGTTATGGCAGCAGCAACCTACAGGCACCAAAATGTAAGAATATTTTACACTGTATGAGAAATACAAGAACTAATGCAACGTTTCTCTTCTACTTGTGTTTGCTTGAATATTGAAGACTATAATTACAATGCTACGCAGAAAGTCATGTACTCTGTTACCTTCACCCCAAATAAATTGAGTACCAGCTTTGCGCAAGCATAGGAGCAAATAGCTTCCAATGAGTGCTTCTTCCGGTCGATAGTCGCCTTAGCTCGGCGAACATATTCCAACGGATCTTCATGTAAGGAAATAGAAAAAGGGAGGATGATGTATCCCATCCAATTACCCCATTTGGCTTTTGACTTTTCAGCCATCATATCTGCTAGATCCTAATTAACATGATCGATGTTTGAGTTAATAAGCATAGCGAGAGATTCGACATTTAGAGAACCTTTATTTTTTATTAGATCGTATAAGAATTTTTAAATTTACATTAATGTAAGAAAATTCTTTTTTCATATATATAGAAACAACATATCAATGTATAAAAATGGAATAAGAAAAAAAATACTTAACTTTTAATAATAAAGCTTTTTAGTCCCTGTAATTTAGACTAGAACAAAATATAGGTACATCCTTATATGGAATTTTAGTTTTCTAAATTTTTATTGAGCTAATTAAGTTTATTTATTTTTTAAAATATACAAATTTAATTCTCTATCCAATTTTGTTTACCTAAAATTCTTAAATTCTAATTTACTACTTAAAATCTTTACAAATTGAATTAATTAAATTATTTTTATTCAAAATTTACCAGCTAAAATATTTTAACCAAAAATAGAAAAGTTTGAAAAAAGTTCTTCTTCAAACTCTAATTCTACGCATTAAAAAAATTCCTTAAATTTTATCAATTGTTTAATAAATTTGTTTTTGTTATTTTTTAAGTCGCTTTGTTACAATTTTATTACAAAATCTCAAAAGTTTGAATGAAAAAAAAAGTTGAAGGTTTCTAGTGGGAAAAAAAATCATTGGATAACTAAATTTACATAATTTTAAAAATAAAGAACTTAATTAACTTAAAATAAAAAATAAAGAAACTAAAAATACAATTAAGTCTACAATAGAATGGTATTGAGTTATGATACTGTTGTTCATGTATATTTTATCAAATATAATAGTTTAGCTTAGTTATTGGGAAAATCCTTTTGTTTTAAATATGTAGTTCCATATCTTAGGTATATAGAAAAGGTCTCCAAAAGGATCTGAATTTGAAAACCAAACTCACCTGTATTCCAGCAACAGGTCTAATGTTAACAAGAATTGCTGCCCTAAGGCGAATCTTCTTGAGGACAATACTTGATCTCTTATTGGCACCATTACTATTTGCATCCTCACATGCTTAGAGGACATGAATAACAAAGCGTTAATTAGCGAAGAACAATTAATTGGAGCACATTTTCTTTCCTTTTTACTTTTAAATTACTGACAATTTGCAACTATGGTAGTTTTTGTAAATAATAGAGTCAAGTCGGAGAAAGCTGAATTCCAATAAATATAGAAGCTTACCATACGCTCGATTCAAGTAGCGAGTGAGACCAGCTTGTGTTATCCCCAACAAAACATCATTGATCGTCTAATTATCAACATTTAACAATAAACATTAATATAACTCCATTCTTTTCTTTGTCGAGGAGGAATTCGTGAAGTAGTACTAGTAAGTAGTAAGTAGTAAGTAGAATTAAATTTATTTGTTTTCTCAAATAAACATTATGGAAAAACTTAACACCCTCAAAATTACAAGACACAAGGAGTGGGTTAGAAATGAGAGGTTTAGAAAGAATCTTATAGTTTTTTGAAAATTGAGTTTAGATGAAAAGACCTAATATTTTTTTAAAATTAAAAATATATTATATTTTGCAAAAATAAACAAAAGATTGACGCAATAAATTTATATTTATTTATTACTTTATTTTTATTTTAAAAATTATAAAACTAAAAAATAATTTAATAGAAATATAAATTATCTCTCTCTTTTTCCTTTTCTAAAACTTAAATTCCAAGCATACTTTAAAATTATTAAATGCAATCAGATGAGATCGTTTGAATGAAAATGTAGTTTAAAAATGAGAACAGACAACAGAGCCCACCATTCAAAATTCCTTAAATTATGATGCTGATTTCAAATAACATTAAATAAATAAATATCTAATTCTAACTAGTATTTTAAAAGGACTAGTCAAAGAACTATAAATATTTTTTTATATCAAAATATATAATCTCATAACTTCTAGTATATAATTTTTAACAAAATTTTTATTTTAATTCTTTAATTAATACATAAAGACCTTGGTTAGTAAAATTCTAAATAGCTATACATTTTTTTAGAGGAAAGATATACTAGAGAGAAGTTACCGTTTTCATTTCATTCTTCACGAACTTGATGTCATCTAAATTAACCGTACGGTGGATGAAGCGCTTGGAATTGAACTCAACTCCGGGCGCACCTTTAATGGGAGTTGGGGTGTCTTTGATGAACAGAATGGTAAAAGTAAACAACACCATGTCCACCATTGTGTGCCAAATCAGAATCATTCCCCACCAAACAGCAAAGAAGAACCACCTGAACGAGCAAAAGCGCTTATGTGAGCTAGCTCTGTTTTGAGTTGGCACCGTTGGTAACGCATCAGGGTCAGAGGTTTTGCGAGTAGCTGCAAGGAGGAGTGATATAAGAGAGGCACCATCTCCAATGGAGTGGTGGATCCGAAATATGCCAATTGCTTCTGCATCTGAGGTTTTGATGTTGAGGAGGTGTAGTTCCCAAAGTGGCTTGGATAGGTCCAGTGGCGTTTTTGTAAAATTGGAGATGTAGTCTTCAACAAATCTATCTGGGTACTCTGCGTTCAAATCTATTTCAGGAACTATAATATGGTTGTCTAAGTCAACTGTTGTTGGGGTCCATATAGTTTTCCTTCCTTTCTTAACCTGAAGATCCAAAAGAATAAACACAAGAAGATGATGTCAATATGTTGTTAAAGGATGGAATTAGATTTGACTAAATCCTCATTTTGCTTCTTGAAACAGTAAATGTAAGTCATTTTATTCTCCAAAATTTAAAAAATTGTCATGTTAATATCTTATTGTTATTTCTCTTGACATTTAATTTTTTAGACCTAAAAATCATTAATAGAAAATAACAAAATATTGACCTGTTATATCAAGTTACATGTGATACTTGTAATTGATTACGTGACAAAGTTGACGTTATATGTGATATAATACATGTTTTTATTTTAAGTTATGAGATTTTCATTTATAGATATTTTAGTCTTTAATTCTTAAACTCTTCTCACTATAATCATTCTCAATCTTTTTATTCCTCTCTTTTTCTTACTTTTAACCACTCTTTCAAGTGTCTAATACTTTCTTTAAAGTCTCACATTGTTCCATTGACACTCCCAATAATCCTTCTTTTTTCTCTTCCACTTTGCCCTTTACATCAACTCATGTTTTTTCTCTATGTTCCTGTGGCTATCATCAACGTCGCTACATTAGTTCAGGGGCTAATAGGTAAAATCACCCTTTTCAGCAATCTATCATTGCTTCTCCAACCTTGATGCATTGTGTTTGAGGATAATTTTCAAGATTATAGAACCAAATGATGGACAACATCATCAATGTCAAAGCTTAAGAAAAATGAAAAAATGTATATCAATGTGGTGGTTTGAATTATAATACTCATGAAAGCAATATTTGCATGAAGATTAATCAATAACCCATAAAGTAAAATCATAATTTTATACTACCACCATTTGAAGCAAACGAAAATGCAATTTGAAATTGCCAAATTCAAGTGCAAATAACACTGAAGGAAATATTTCACCATGTTTTTTTTTATGTGTACCCAAAACCTATATGTAAATAGTCAATGAAACCATAAAGTTAAAATTTATCCAAGCAATGTCTAAAGCAATGGCTCCAGTGCTAACAAAGGACGAAAGTAGCTAAGAAGAGTAGTTTCTAAGAGAATGAGAAGAAGGATGAGTAATTAAAAGATTTTAAGAACCAGAGACTAAAATGCTTATAAGTGATAATCTCATGGATTAAAATGTTAGAAGGGTGATAATCTTAAAAAATAAAATAAAATAATATATCATACTACGTATGACGTTGTTTTTGTCACTTAATTGATCACACGTGTCACTTAACATGACATGACAGCTTTTTGTTATTGTCTATTAACGATGTTTGAATCTAGGAACTTAAATGCCTGATAAATATGAAAGTTAAGAATTAACGTGATATTTTTAAAATTTTAAAAACTAAAACGTCTGTCAAGAGACTAAAATGAGGATTTAGTTAATTAGATTTATAAGATAAATGTGTATTTCTATTTAAATTAAATTGAAATAAGTTTAAAAATTGGATAAAATCAATATCTTAGACATGTTTATTTACATTTTTAAAACAAATTTTAAAACTAAAAAACTTTTTTATGTATTTTTCCTAGGAAAGGAAATTATGCTCCATTTCAGGGCAAGAAAATTAGGAAACTCAAAAAATACTTATAAAGGCATAATTAATTTTTTTAACATCCGTTTGTTATTTTTTAAAATAGTCTTGGGAGTTGAACTATTTTGCTTTTTAATTTTTTTTCTTCTTTTAATATATATATATATATATATATATATATATATTATTTTTTAAAAATTTAAAGATATACAATATTCTAATGTTGTGACATAGTAGCCTATGATATCAATATATTTAAATTTTATACTCATTATTTAATGTGTTAGATTTACAAGTATTTATTAACCAATCCAATCTAATGTATATTGTATAAATGAAAACTAAATTAATTGAAATTCAAACAAAATGAAAAATAATCTTTTTTATTAAATTGAATTTTAGAGCCTATTTTAAGAATTGATCCAATCTAATTGATGTCAAATTTATATTTTATACATAATAATTTTATTTTAAAAATAAATATCTCACATATATTATAAAATTATATATTAATAGAATTATATCACTTAACTATTTTTTTATGATTTTTTTAAAATTTATTTTAAGTGCTTGCTATGGCACTATAAATTTGATAAGACATTATATATCTTTTTTAAATTAACAATTATAATTTTTTTAATATATTAAAGATTAACAAATATTTATTTTTTTTAAATAAACTATTAACTTCAATATCTATTAATTTAAAATTAACTATAATAATTGTTCTACATGTCAAGGGCAGGCATAGAATGTCTTCTTGATTAATAAGACATCGTAAAAATTACCTAGAGTCATAAATTTGAAAGAACATTTTATATTATCTCTAAATTAATAGTTGTGATTTATCTAATATCTTAAAAATTAAAAGATATTTATATTTTTTAAAATAAATTACTAATTATAATATTTATTAATATAAAATTAATAGTAATAATTATTTCACATATAAAAAGATATAAAATATTTAATAATTCACAAGACATCGTAAAAATTACTTTGAAAAATATTAGTGTGACAAAAAAAAAAAACAGATAAAAAAATGTGTGTATATAAATACACCTTTATTATTAAATAAAGATCATGATAAATTTATTAAATAAAGTGTGAGACTTATTAGATAGAAAATAAAATATATCATTTAATAAAATTTATATGATTTAATCTAATATTAAAATGTATGCTAAAAATGTATGTACTAGATAAACATGTTTAAACAACTTAAAATTAAGGTTATAAATAAATAAATAAAATGTCAAAGGTATATTTTTTTCCAATATTTTACACAAATATTAAGGTATTATCTATATTAACAAAAGTTTTCATCTTGAATTAGACAACTTTTTTCTTGTTATAATAATCTTACTTAGGTCAGTTCAAAGTCAAATGTTTAATACATATTTAAATATTAATTACCATGAAAATAAATTAGTCTCATTCAATGGTAGATCCAAGAAAATTTATTTTTTAAACAATAGAATCATCATTATTAAATGTGAGAGGAACGTTACTAATATACTATTCCTATTATATTTTTTATTATTAGCTAAAGTTTATTGAAATTTGTTAAAATACAAAAGAGAAACGTTAAAATTTTAAAACAAAGTTGATTGACAAATATTTATTTAAAATAAAATAAATTAAACACGCATACCAAATTAGCCATAGGAAATTAATTAGTTATGCTTAAGTCTACTCCAAGTAAAATTTTCTAAAACAATGATATAGAGTCTGTAAAAACATTTTTCCTTTGTAAAATTATGCACATGTATCGATCAATTAATTCAATAGAAGGGTAAGGTAGAGTAACTAACCATCTTGCTGGTGAACCGTGGATGCTTAAGCAGAGTTTGAGATAAGCCTTCTTTGATAACTTGAGGATTGATGCTTGTCTTGCAACCCATGATGGCAACCACATAACAGTTCAATGATGGCGCGTGGAACAACTTCGCTGCTGGACTCAACGGTTCACCTTCTCTTGATGCCATATTTGCTTCTCCTTAATCTCTTCCCCTTTAACCACAGTTCTTATTTATGTCTGTGAAGATACAAAGACTGTTGCAACCGTCAAGGATATGGTGGTTGATGAATGTAATCAAAATACCCAAATTAATAAATTTGTCAGAGGGTATGGGCTTTTCAATATGTTTATTTATAAAAAAAAGGAAAAGAAAATACGCTGGTGGAATAGAATGGTGGGTGCGTTGTAAAGCTAAAGATGGAAATTGAAGATGACTATGGTTCATTTTCTCTGATATGTTCTGGATTGCAATTGAGAAGATCGATACATAGGATTAATGGTTTAATTAACTATTATTGTTTTCTTTATTGAAATTAATAAAGTTTGACTCTGTTGGAAGCGGGGGAACTGTGTGGAAGTTACAAAGTTAGGTTTGCTTAATAATTCCAGTCTCTAAATGTTTGTGCGTGAAAGAAAAACAGTGGTTAATTTGAATGAAATCGCATATGTTAAAAGATAGAGGGGAGGATAGAAGGAGGAAATTAACGGTGAGAAAAGAAAGCATACTCTTAAATGCAACCACCAGACTCAGGACATGTCAGGATAAGGAATGTAGTGGTGGGAGGAACTGGTCCATGGATGAAAATGATGCTAATTACTAAAACCCCGCAATGAAATTCACATGGCTCTGGTCAATCTGTCACTTGTCTCTGTCTTGTGAAGAGCGGAAGCAGACCATTAGAGAGGAGCTTCCGTGTGATGCAAAAGAGGGCCACGTTTGACCAAATCTCACAAGCGATTGGGATTTTAATATTTCAACCACGATGCTCCTCCAATTGGGCTCTGCCTTCTTGTGTGCCATGTGCGAGCAAGTAAGAGACACAAAAGCTTTTGTCTGACTATCTCTCTATCTACTTGTTCGTTTGTTTATTTATTTTTCTTTCTTTATTTATTTAAGTATTTGCTATCTTGTTCTTAAAATTGCAAAAATACTTAATATTTTTTCTAGATTATACTAAAAAATTAAAAAATACTTATGGGTGTTATTCTTTTAATTTAATTCTACTGTTAAAATCAACTATTACAATTGTAGATAGATTATTTTTATGGGTGTTTATCTATTTATTTAATTATAAAATTTGATTTTTTTTTCATACATATCGTCTTTTAGTGTAAGGATTTTTTTAAATTTTAAAAAAAAAGTTATTTGTATTATTTTATCAAACTTATAAATATAAATTGTTATAAAATATTGAATACGTGTATTATTGTTTTAATTTAATTAGTGATCTACATAAAAAAATTTAATAAATATGAATTTACTTTTATACTTCGTATAACTAAATTTATAATTCAAACTATATACATTTAAGATTCAATAGTTTTTTTAAAATATTGCAGGTATTATTATCTTGTATAAAGTTTTTCATTTAAATTTTTTTTATTAATAAATTTTTTCTTAATTTATAAATAAAATTAAAAAGGTTAATTTTCTTTTATACTTTTTTAATCTATTAATTACATTATATTAATATCTCAGTAACTAATTGTTATATATATTTGTTAGAATGCTTGATATATCCCTTTCTAATATTCTTTCATATATTCATTAACATTCAAATAGCCTTAAACCCAAGAAAATAGTCTTTTGAGTTTGGAAAGGTTTTCATAAATTCTAAATGCTACATGGATTATTATCTTATTTTTTTTGAATTTTTTATAAAAATTAAATTAAATAATGTGAAACTTCAAATATTTTTTAATACATAAGTCACGTAAGTGAGATGATTTTTAATTTCCTTACAAGTCGCACAAGAGTTGGGCTATTATTTATAAAACACTAAGTTGTCCTAACTTGGTGAGACTTGTGGTTGAGCAGGACTGTGCTCATGACCAGCACACCTCGTGGTTATGCCAAAATAAATTTAAGTCACTTTGGAATTGTGCAACTTAAGTGAAGCCACCAAATATATAAATAAGCATAAAGAAGATTTGTTTATAGTTTGCCTAGTGTAAAATTTTCATAGAATAGTTGTTATATTGAAAAAAACAAGATTAAAGTTCATTAAATGAGATTGATGAAAAAGAATGACTTTCTTAATTGTTGGATGGGGAATCTATAATTAGTTTTTATTGTTCAAATTTCATTAAACATAAGGAAGATATTGAAGAAGAATAATTTTATGGACCTATACAAAATGAGAGTGATGAAGGATCTAATAGAGAGACACAAGATATTAGTCATATACAACTATTATGTTACAGTTGGTATCACAATATCAGTCTCAACGATAGCATAGTCATTATTCAACATTAAATTTGTATGTAATGAATCTAAGTAATCTTGATGGGTTCTAAGATGATGATAGTAGGGTTGCTAGAAATGTTAGTTTGGATAGACAAATAGAGCTAGAAATCAAACAATTATTAAGGAACAATTAAAATCTTTTATTTACAATAAAGAGTTACAATATTCAAAGGTCAATTGATTATAAAGTTCGAGTCAAATCATATAAAATACTATGGTAAATGTGTGAAATTTGGCATCAGATGTAATTGAAGTATTCATGTTACTTATTATCGCAAAATGCAAATGTGGCAAGTTCAAAAGTATAATAGACCGCACAAATGTGTGTTTGATTTGACTTTATAAGGCTATCAATAATTGGAAAGTGATATTATATGTGCATGCGTATTGTCAATTGTGTAATTAAATCTGACAATTTCCATTAAAGTAATGCAATGGGATATCGAGTCAAGGTTTAAATTCAAACCAAAATATAAGAAGGTATGGTATACAAAACAGAAGGCAATTGACAAGATTTATGGTGATAGAGAACTTTTTTTACATTGAACTTTCAATATGACTTCTTAGGTTGCAATAATCTTCTATGCCAACAACCGTAGTCCATTTATTCACTCAATTTTACTATGTTGGTAATGTTGTTGATCATCATCGTGCACTTTTTAGCTGTTTGTTTTTTACATTCTCTCAATAACAGATGTTCAAATATTGCAAGTCATTTATTTCAATTGATGGCATGCATTTGTACAAGAAGTATAGTGAAATAGTGTTGATAGTCATTGCTTAAAATGACAACTCCAACATATTGCATGTTGCATTTGCCTTGGTTGAGAGAGAGAGGCTAGGAAAGGATGATATAATATTTTTAGTAACCTTCAATAGTATGTCAACCCACAATAAGGAATTCAAGTAATTTCTAATAGACATATGTCTTTAAAAGCAACTTTGAATGTGGAAGGTAGTGGGTGACATCCATTAATGGTGTATCATGCATATTGTATTTGTCACATTTGTTCAATCTTTTCACTTTAATTCAAGAGTAAAGATGCGAAGAGAATACAAATGAATACAATGTTTTCAAATACTTAATGAGTTTTGTAGTATTACCACTAATATTGAAAGAAGAAGATATCTAGTTTGACAAAAAAGGATTTATGTCCATCTTTGATGCCAACTCCAAATGCTCCTCAACATTACAATCCTAGGCTTTGATCTACGAAGAGTTCCAATACCACAAATCTTCATTTTCCAGAAACCTTAGATTCATGCGTCCTTTAGAAATTCCTTCCATCCTAGTCAAACTGAAAAGAATAGTTGTTCTCCATTTCTTTCTCACTTTCCTTCATCTTCTTCACTTTCTTTATACTACAATTTACAATTCACTGGATCTTTCTCCACTAACAAGCTTCATCTTTCGGTCCAACACAAGCCTACTAAAAAACAAAGTTGAACCCAACAACATAGTCCAAAATGAGCGTTTAGGAAAATCCTAAGCCGCCTTTAATGCTGCGATAGAAAAACCCTTAATTGCGAAAAAGCTGCTACGCAACTTACTCTTGAAATGTTTTGCAGTAATTTTAGGTGTTTTCTTATAATTATAAAAGATTTGGTTTAATTTAATATATTATAAAGAAAAATAAATAATTTTGATCAAATAAATTTGTGACCAAATTTATAATCACTCATTATAATTTAATCAACGACTAATATTAGCAATTGAATTTGCGAATACGAAAGTAAAATAAACTAACAAAGACTACTTTAGCTACCACCATAAATTAATGAATTAGGGTCTAAATTTTTTACTGCTAAATTGGTAAAAAAAATTAGTCATCAAATAATTTTTTATGATCATCGTTTGCAATAGACAAATTATTAATTTTTTGGTGAATTATTTTGGTCTCTAGATATAAGCAATCAACTATATATTTTGTTGCTAAATTGATTAACGACCGGAATTTAGCAACTATCTTAATTTGTTTGTTAATTAATTTGACCACCGAAATTCATTTTTTTCAACCGATGTTTTCAATTGTTAACTAACATTCTTCTAGTTGTGTATAAAAATAAACTTCGAGATCACATATACGGCAATAAAGTATAATTATACTTTAAATTAATCTTACATATCTTTATAGTTAACATCATGATAATCAAAAAATAAATTTTATGCATAATCACCTTCCATTAAATAGTGTGAAAAGTAAGTCTTGGTAAATTCATATTCAGTAGAAGTCCAATGAAGCCATTTATCTTCATGTTTAAGCATTTTGAGTACTGCATCTATGCAAATAAATTTACAGTTTGCGTATGCCCTCATTGCTTCATGTTTAGATTTTTCTTCGTTCTCTAGATTATCACTTTTTGTGCATTTGATTGGGTTCCTTTTTGTTTTTCTGAAAACCGCCTTTATGAAAATTCATATTCTATAAATAATAAAAAGAAAGGAATCCATAAAGGGGAAAGTGTTTGGAAGATTAGCACTCATCGAAAGATAAATCTTTGGAAAAAAACACTTTTGCAAACCCTGTCAATTCCATAAATTAGCAATGCAAAAGACGAAGCAAAGAAATTATTGAGAATTGCCATACTTAAGTGTATTCGCTCAATTAATAAAATTTTATGTAGGACAATTAATTGCATTTGACGCATCCGTTAGAAATAATTTTTCTCTTTTTTACAAGATTGCTATTTTTCAATTCAATAAAACTCTACGACGCTGAGAAAAAAGACACATTTTTGTTTGTTCATAAAATTTGACTATTAATTTCTCTTTAGTAATTTGATAGTACCATGATACAAGGTTAGTGAGCAAATAAAATATCTGCAACTGCATGGATCGCAACGCATCTATTCCACTTTAATTCCACCTCTTTTTATATTCCTCCTTGGCCACGCATCTATATTTTATTTAATTTTACATTCCTTATTTTGCTGGTTGAATTGAAGTTCTGGTTCTGGATTTGCGGTGCAATCTATCATTTTCATTCACCTATAACCAGAGTAATTATGTTCCCAGAAAAAAAAAAATAGTGCCTCAAATGTGTATAAAGATATAAATATAAATTTAATAATTACAATAATTAAGAATGGAATTAATAAACATTTTTATAAAAAAATAAAAATTAAATAATTAATTAAGTGACCCTTATGTGCTTTAATTTAATACATAAAGTGACTAATACTAAATTATCATAATAGTGAGGTGTGACATATAATAGAATATAATAAAATCAATATGTTTAAATATATTTTTAATTCTTAATTTTTTTATATTTTGATTTTACTCTTTAAAAATATCGATTTTAGTTCTAAATCCTTTCAAATTTAACATTTTTAATCTTTAGTAATAGTATGACTAACTAAAAGATTATCAAGTATAAATTTTTTTATTATATCAGATTATAAGGTAAGTAAGAGAGACTAAAAATGCTAATTTATGTTTGCATAAATATTATTAATTTCTGTTTCAGCCACAAAAATTATTTTTTTTTGTAAAATTGCAGATATAAATCTTTTTCTTTTTTTTTGTGATCATCAGCAACACTCTTAAATTATATCATTATTATTCTTGAAATTACTTAGTTGACTTCATTTTTTGTGTCAACTATCTTATTAGCAAACCCAACTTCTGGATCTTTTAATGCTGAGTAAAGTCTAAAAAGTAACTCTTATTAAAATGTTATCAAAATGTTACTTCTATGTATATCTTTCTCATATCACGTCCATTTTAGGACTAGAATGAAAAGCATAATTTCTAAAGCACACTCTTTATCCCTATGTTCTATGAAATAAATGAGTGTTATGGAAAGTGTAGTAAAGTTGTGCGCAGAATACCATTCTGCTGAGTAATGATGTCTCTAATAAAGTAAAAAGAATGCGAAAAGAGCGAATTCTAGCTTGTAATTAGGTTGAGAGCAGTAGCATAAGAAGTAGTGGCAACTTTTGCACATGATTATATATGTAGTAGAAAGGAGAAGGAATAAATCACATTAGAAATTGGACACGTCATGGATGTTATTGGAGATTTAGCTTAATAGTTAAGAAACTCATGCAAGTCCTTTTTTTTTTCCACCAAATCATAAAAGACAACGTACATTTCTTCATTCCTAGTCTATCCATTATATTACAAGAACCTATAAAATATTGGAAATATTTAGACTCAAACTGTAATCATTGTTCACTATCTAAATCAACGTTACAGTCTTGACAAATTTAATAATTCAATTCTCCATAATGACTAGAACCATTAACTCAGAACAAACACACTGGACTATCCGCACACAAAGGTAATATATAATATAATTTAGGTTGAGGAAGAGACAGACAAGAGGTAGAAAAAATGAATAGAATAGCCTTACTAATCCATTTACATCTAGTGGCAATGCTGTAAGTAGCAGCCAGCTAATTCTTGCGACATCGACTTCACACCAACCTTCCATTTTTCACATAAACAGAATAACAGTTAACACTAACACACTCACTCATTCACTCTCTCTCCACCCAATCTACAAAGATCGTCATTATAAAAGGCCCACCTTCCTCCTCAATAGAAACCAGTAACTACCTCGTTCCCACACTAATCCACACTCCAAACCTCACAAACACATGGAATATGGAAGGCTTGGACCCGCTGACCCTGGTGGCTCCTCACGCCGCTCCACCACTCCTCTAACCAAATCAACCCCCTCTTCTTCAAACAGTAAAAAGAAGCTCATCATAATTTCCACTCTCGCCGCCGTCTTAATCGTCGCCTCTGCTGTCTCCGCCGCCCTCATCACCGTCATCCGCTCCCGTGCTTCCGGGAACCAAAACGCACCGGACCTCACCCGCAAGCCCACACAGGCAATAACGAAATTTTAACTTTTTTCAGATATCCTCTCAATTTAATCAATTTTTGAACCTGAATTTTTTTAAAAAATTTTAATACCTCAATTAAAACAATATCCAACTCCACCATTTCAGGCAATTTCCCGAACCTGCAGCAAGACTCGTTTCCCTACCCTATGCATCAACTCCCTCCTTGACTTCCCCGGCTCCACCACTGCCTCTGAGCAAGATCTCGTCCACATCTCCTTCAACATGACACTACGCCACATAAGCCACGCATTCTACGCCTCCACCGGCATTTCGTTTGCGGCCACGGACCCAAAAGTCCATGCGGCATACGAGGATTGTCTCGAGCTCCTTGAGGAGTCTATGGACGCACTTTCGCGGTCCCTTGACTCCGTCTTGCCTCCTTCGGCGCCATCCAGCAGCGGCGAAATTAAACCCGCCGCCACTGGATCCTCCGAAGACGTGTTGACGTGGCTTAGCGCCGCCCTCACTAATCAAGACACTTGTGCGGAGGGGTTCGAGGACACGAGCGGGACCGTGAAGAACCAGATGGTGAATAACTTGAAGGACTTGTCTGAACTCGTGAGTAACTGTCTCGCGATTTTCTCGGCGAGTGCAAGTGGCGATTTCTCGGGGGTCCCTATACAAAACAAGAGACGGCTAATGGAAGAGGACAAGCATGATCATTTTAACGGCGATATCTCGGGAAAATTTCCGAGTTGGTTGAATAAACGAGATAGGAGATTGTTGAATTTACCAGTGTCGGCAATTCAAGCAGATATAGTCGTGTCCAAAAACGGTAACGGAACGGTAAAGACAATTGCTGAGGCGATAAAGAAAGCGCCAGAGCATAGTAAACGCCGGTTCATAATCTACGTGAGGGCAGGAAGGTAATTTATATAACGGTTTTTTTTATAAATCTTTTTATAATTTTTAATTAAAATTATAAAATTCAATGTAGTAATATTATTAATTGTTATAACTTTTAATAAAATTTATTATTTTTTATATTCTCAAATATATGTTAAAAAATCGTTTAAATAAAATATGCTGTGCGCTTTCTTTCTCTGTGAAAAGTGTACGCTTTTCGAGATAACGAACATCGCACTTTTTTAATTATTATCTTGTTTTTATTTAACTGAACTTTATAATTGAAGGTGATATGATATGTACCGAAAAAAAAGGTAACACGGTCGGTGACATGAGTTATTGTTTGAAAAAGCTTTCCTGCATGGCTTCGCGGCTGTAATAATGGGAAAGTACCATCGGTGATGGGTTTTCTTTCCTGGTATAATTAATTTCTAACAATATTTACGCCACCATCCTCGTTGAATTAAATTTGTTGACCCCTCTTTCTGTCAATAAAGGTGAGAAAATATTCGACTAACTAAACTGCTGAATTGCTCATAGTTAATTAGTGTGATTTCCTTTTACCTCAACATTTAAAAATTATTCTTGTTTTATGCTGATGTGTGATTGCAATAGATAAAAGCTATGGCATGCGCACTGACTGTTGGATATGATTGAATTTCCAGGTATGAGGAGAATAGTTTAAAGGTTGGGAAAAAGAAAACCAATGTTATGTTGATAGGAGATGGGAAGGGCAAAACTGTCATTACAGGAAAGAAGAATGTGGCAGATGGCATGACCACATTCCACTCTGCATCCTTCGGTTAGTTCCTTTCATCTGTTTGCCAATTGATTGTGTATGCTTTGTCCAATTGGAACATTTTTTTTTATTTTAGTATTTTGCAAATGTGAACCAATACCGTGCATGATAATCGAACAACGCAGGCTGCACGTGGCCACTGCCCTTCTTGTTGTTATTGTTTATATTCCTAGCTGTCGTCGCATGTCTATTCCACGTCTACGTCAATTTGGACTTGGACAATATTACCCCCACCGGCACCGTTGCATGCATTATTGTGCTCCATGGCACGTTGTCAATGGCTAAGTCAACTTTTATAAACAAAACTAAATTAAATTTAACTTGGTGAATTTCTCCCAAAAAAATACTTATTAAATTCTACATCCAAAAAACTGATGAACTTTTCTAATTGATTGGACGAAGTTAATTAACTACAGTTCAAGCCACATCTAAATGTACATCATAGCACCGATCAACATCGGAGCTATTTTATTAATATTTTAAAATATAATCGATAAGAGAAGAGGTAGTTGGATGTTGAAGTTTAAAGAAACCTGGTTCAACAGGAAACATATAGAATTTCTTATGTTGAACTTTAACTAAAGCGTGATATAGCATGAATCTTACGCATTCTCTGCCTTCTTCAAAACAAATGATCATTCACTTCTTGACTTTATTGTCATCATTCCATATTCATAATTATTATTAGCATATCCTCTACATTGGTGGATAACATATGTTCTTCCGTATCGCAAAGTATAAATAAAATACACTCAAAACATTAATGAGTGCCTCCTAATTGGAATAGCAAATCCAAATTATTGATTGTAGCTTAGCCATGCACCACAAGACAAAATTATAAAAAATCCCATGTGACCATGTCCCTAATTAAAATAAGTTTGGTAGCTTAATTTATTCGATGTGTAGTTCATAATTCTCATTAAGCTATTTCTGCAGCTGCTAGTGGTTCTGGATTCATTGCACGAGACATCACATTCAAGAACTATGCGGGACCGGAAAAGCACCAAGCAGTGGCGCTCCGTGTTGGAGCCGACCACGCGGTGGTGTACCGTTGCAACATTTTGGGGTATCAAGACTCATGCTATGTACACTCTAACCGTCAATTCTTCCGTGAATGCGACATTTATGGCACTGTGGACTTCATATTTGGCAATGCCGCAGTGGTTTTTCAAAAGTGCAACATTTATGCTCGTAAGCCCATGGCCCAACAGAAGAACACAATCACGGCCCAAAGTAGGAAAGACCCGAATCAGAACACGGGTATATCCATCCACGATTGCCGGATTCTACCCGCCCCGGATCTCACCCCGGTAAAGGACAGCATCCCCACCTATTTAGGCCGTCCGTGGAAACAGTACTCTAGGACGGTGTACTTGTTATCTTACATTGGTGACCACATACATCCTCAAGGATGGTTGGAGTGGAATGGGGACTTTGCTTTGGACACATTGTATTATGGTGAGTACATGAATTTTGGGCCGGGTGCAGCCGTAGGGAATCGGGTTAAATGGCCGGGGTACCGGGTCATTACTTCTACCGTGGAGGCAAATCGGTTCACGGTGGCCCAGTTTATATCCGGGTCGGCATGGTTACCATCCACTGGAGTGGCGTTTCTGGCCGGGTTATCCACCTAAAATTATTACATGGCAGGTATATAGAGGGAGGTTTGACAGTGTCGCAAACCTACCCAATTGGGGAAATATCTTCTAATTTTATAGTTCTTATTTTGATTTAATTGTTGCAAACTATAGTTTTTTGGGGCTAAATTATTTTATCAACGATGCTAGTAATAAATGTAAGTGTAAACAGGGCTTTATATACTTGACTCAAGAAATATTGTATTACCATTCTTATTTTATTGATATAAAAGTGAGTGAGAAAGGAAGGGTGGCATTACAAACTCAGCTTACTGAGTGTGTCCCTCTTGGCCTACTTGCTTTGTGTGTCATGTGAGTCGTATCGTGTCCTTTCTTTACTCTCCATTGAAGAGGCTTGAGGCTGGGATTTGTTAATCATGGTTGAATGGTGGTAGTTGATTGGGTCATAGGAGGAACTAACGTCGCGAGAACAACTAGGAAATGGAAAGTGACCTACTGTTGTTGACATTAATTTGACACTACAATGGTCCCTGTGTGGTTCTTATGGCACAACCCCAACTCTCGTGTACAGCATTCTGACGGTTGATAACAAGTAGGGCCCGGATTTATTTTCTCCTACTCGAATCCACCCATATTTTTTTTAATGGAATTGAAATAGATCCTGAATCTCACTGTTGTGGAATTTTGCCTAGGTATGTTTTGTCTTTGTTAAGTGTTTCTTCATTTCCAAATTATTTTTGAACTACAGAAAACCTCTCTTTACCCAATTCATATTTTCTTTACTTCAAATGTATTGAACAGATAAAATTATATTTTCCATCTTTTATGTGTATTTTAAATTTTAGTTTAATCTTTTCAATTTTTTCTTAATTTAATCATTTAACTTAAGACTATCTTTACAGTTTTATTTTTAACAGTTTAATCTTTTAACAATTTAATCATTTAACTTAAGATTATTTTAACAAGTTCCTTTTTGACAGTTTCATTTCTTCACTTAACCCAAGTGTATTACATGACACCTATGTAATAAAATTATCAATTTAGTTCGTTATTTTTATTTTGGACATCTTTAATTTTTAAACGCTAAGGAAAAACCTATTTCCTGACAATTTAATTTTAAATTATCTTTTAAGTTATTAGAAACAAATTGAGAAAAATGAAAATAAAAGTTAAATTGAAGCTTAGAATAAACATAAAAGATTAAAAATATTAGTTTTTTTTATTAAAAATTAAGCACTTTTTAAACTCAAATACTACATAAAATGGATATGATGAAAACAATTAAAGAATCAAATTATATTATTAGCAAAAATAATAAATTTAACTTATTATTATTAGTCTCAAAGTCTCGCATCAAATAAGAGTTTAGGTTGTTTCCTAATACTCAGTACCAATGGAAAGTGCTTCTATTTGGTCTCAAGGTTGCACCTTCAGTATTCCAGAGAGCAATGACTAGAATTTTTGAGCCTATCCTGGACAGTGTCCTCATCTACATAGATGATGTTCTTTTATTCTCAAATGACAAAGAATCTCATAATATTCTTTTAAATAAATTCTTTGATCTTGCCTATCTCCATGGAATCATGTTATCCAAAAAGAAGATACAATTGGCTCAAAACTAGATAGATTTTCTGGTAATGCATTTTTCTCAAGGAAGTTACCAGCCTCAACCTCATATTGCTGAAGAACTACTTAACTTTCTTGATGAAGATTTTACTGTTAAACATATTCAACAATTTTTGGGGGTTTTGAATTATATTAGAGATTTTATTCCTAATGTTGCTAAATATACAAGTCCTATATCAAAACTCTTGCAAAAAAATCGTCCACCATTGGGTCCTGAATAGATTGAAGCTATTAGTCATCTGAAAAAGATTGCTTAAAATCCTCCACCATTAAAAATTGCTAGAGAAGGGAAAAGGATTTTGTAGGCAGACGCCAATGATCATTAGTGAGGAGCTGTCTTATTGGCAGAAACAAATGGCAAAAAGGCATATTGTGGACATGCTAGTGGACAGTTCAAGGAATCAGAGAAGCACTATCACACAACTTATAAAGAAGCTTTAGCAGTAAAAATGGAATCCAGGAATTTGATTTCCATGTAAGAGGACACAATTTTGAAGTCCAAATGGATAACTTCTCTTTTCCTACTCTTCTAGGATTCAAAAACAAGACGCCTCCTGATCCTCAGATTAAAAAATTGGTTCTCTTGATATGATTTTACTATCAAACATATTAAAGGAGAAAAGAACATAGTTCCTGATTTGTTGTCTCGTCCAAGAAAGCCTATCTCTATTGTCACTTCTGCTCAAATATATCCATTTATATTTCCCATCAATGTTGCAAAAGCCAGTACCAGTAACCCTCACCATCTCGTGTTTCTCTAGAATTTCGCACTGATAATTTTATTACTCCAGAATACATAAAAGATTTTGCCAAAAACCACATGTTCCATTACTTGGCTTTCTCTTTACATAACCATGGAATCAAACCAAAACCGTCATGGTTTCATCCAGATGCTCCTTATCTAAATATCTTTGCTCTTCTAATGGAGATTCCTATGATTGAAGAAGATCTTTGATACTTATGGTGTGTTTTTTTGTTATTTCATTATCCTATAGTTTTTCCAACCTTCAGAATGTTTGAGTTCCTCAATAACTCTCAAAATAACTCATCCTTGTTATGGAATTTGTTATCTTGGCTTCAACCTATTTCATCTTGGAAAAGAGATACCAACTTGAAATAGAAAGGTTATGTATATGGAAAGAAGTAGAATTACCACCTTTAGAATTTTCAAAACATGTGACAGTGGTGATAATTCATAGGCCATATTTCAAACATTCAACTTCCAAATTGATTTATACCCAGAATCAGGCGTGATTTTGAAATACTTATGAAAGTATAAAAGGAATCTCTGAACAAGATAGGCCACCTTTCCATCAAGTAGATCTAATAGTTCACCTCTATGTCATCAATAAAGCTCAAAAAGATATGACCAAAGTAAGTTTCACATGTACAAATTTGAAACCAGTAGATATCATCTGCCCGCCAGAGCCAGATGATGATAATATGTGGAATCGAATTCAACAAGTCATGTCACCTCTTACTTCCTCTAGTCTTGTCTTTGGTAATTGGGAAAGAGAATGACATATTATTCCACGTGATGAGCCTGAATCATCAGAAGCTGACATTGTAATAGATTCTCAAGATCCTTATGACTCAGTAATAGATCAAGATGGATAGGGAACAAATGATGATCCAAATATCTCTCCTAGTTATGAACCTATCTTCAAAGACTAAAGGACGAGTGACAAAGCATCTTTAAGTCTTTCAGGATGTCTTGTATTGTACTAAAAGTATCTTTGGTTTTTATTGTGTGCTTTATCATGTACTAAAAGCTGTCTTGGTTTCTTTGTTCTTTTAAAGCCTCTTTTGTAAAATTAGAATCTTATCCGATAATGTCTGTTTGTAATCATGTTGTCTACTTTTCATCCTCTATATAAGAAGAAACGTTTACTTGTAGAAGGCAAATCAAACTAAAATAAAACATGTGTTTATTTATATCATGTGTTGTTTCTAAGTTTTCTCTCTGAAAGATTTATTTATAATGACAATTCTCTAGTCCCTGACTAGAAGTAAGTATATTCTACACTTGCCTTTTTAAAAGGATCCTGTGTATCAGAAAACTTCTAGGCAATAGTCCAGTTGCTACGGTCCTTCTTATTATAGCTTTGATAGATTGTATAAGAAGATATCTGAGAAAAATGCATAAGGGTTGCTCAAAGTATTAGAAAATACTTATATGTTTTGTCATTGTTATGATATTGAAGGCTCCCGGCCAGTATATGGTACTATTCTTTAAGAGTGCCTGTCATTCGGTAGCAAAATTCTTCAATGACTTTATATGGATCTGCATCTGCTTTCATAAATTTTGTGTCAAGCTGATAAATTCATATTTTACTAGTATTTTACTTCAGTTTGTAATACATTTTTTTTTTATAGAAAATATGATTGAGAAAGCTGGAAAACTCATAAAAATGATAGAATGTTTGATTTCTTTCTAAATAGTTTGGTTGTTTAGATTTTATGAATTTCCTAAATAAAAGGTACTGATTATAACACATTTTGTAGGAAACTATGAGCTGAGATCATAAGGTTGGAGGATCAAGAGAAAAAGTATAAGAAAGTAGCAATTTTGGACACAAAGATGAAATAATAATGAAGCTAAGTGCTGGGCGTTATCACTTTTTGCAAGGAAAGTGATTAGTCCAGAGCTTAAGTTCAGAGGCTAACCTGCGCGTTAGCACTTTTTCCAACAATAGTAACCATACCCATGAAGAAAGGTTCTACGTTATCACTATTACTAATAATAGTGATTGTTCCAGAACTGGGGTAAGAGGAATTAGCTGTGTGTGATCACTATTTTCAAGTAAAGTGAACATGCGCTAGTCTGGGTAGAAGGAATAAGCTGCGCGTAATCACTATTGTTGAGAAAAGTGAATACACGCATGATTGAAGGGCAAAACAAGCTGCATATTGTTACTTTTATCAATAAAAGTGGCCGTTCTAGAGAGCATTCCAGAAAAACAAGTTGTGTGTGACTCCTATTGTGAATAAAAGTGAACATGCACATGATATTTGAGGTAATTCATCTCTGTGTTGCTACTATTGTCTACAAAAGTGGTTGCTCCAGCTGTAAAGATTACTAGAAAGCTTTTTGCGTGGTTACTTTATGTTATAAAAAATAAACATGCCAGAAAGGCAGAAAAGTTATAAATATGAGATTAGCTCAGAATTTTGGGGATCTTTTCTCATTTTTTTTCATTTTCATTCTATTTTCTTGTCTTGAGAGAGTCTGAGAGAGAGATTGGGGATGAACACCAAGCTTTATATCTTGAGGAATCAAATTGATGATTAGATTGAAGATGATTCTTTGCTCATCTCCTTCTTCTCTTTCTTTCTCTTTTCACTTTGTAATGGCTTTCTAAACTCTTTGTAGTTAGGGATTTATGGATCTGAAATGAAAGTGTTGATTTAATTTTGGATTTGAACTTTGGGTACTTGATTGGATTGAGTAGTTATTTTTATTAATAAATTAGTTGTTGGATGGAAATTCAATTTACTAAACATAGAGAGGCCTTTATCAATGAAAGTTGAACTTGTTCTCAGATTTGAATTAATTACCAAGATTAGTGATTTCTTAGGGATAAGTCATCTTAATCTTGTAGTCTTATGATTTCTAATTCTTAATGCAATACTTAATTGAATCACACCTAAGGGATTAGGGTGGTTGAGTTGAATCTTAGGGTCATTGAGTTAAGGAATTAACCTTTGACTAATAATCTGTT